ACTATTAAATTACTTAATAGAGTTAGTATAAGGATTCATTAATAAAAAATTATGCAGTTGATAATAATACGAAAAAAAAAGTTTTTAGAAATAGTAAAAAAAAAGGTTATTTAACCATTTTAATTTAATATATGTAAATCTAATATTAATATTTACCTTCTCACTTTACAAAAAAAATTTAGTAGTAGTTTTTCTTAATTTTACTATAGTGTAGATATTTCTTTCCTATCAATATCTTTTATTTATTTCAACATCATGTTCATGGTTAATGAATGTAATCTCTTTTAAAAAATAAAATAAAAAAATCAACCAATGTACTTACTTTTAAAGAAAATAAATAGTTTAAAATATCTGAGTTATTTATATTAATTTGTTATCACTTTGGCAATATTGGTTAACTTATAAATAATTTTTTTTATTAAAAATCATATTTAATTCGAATACAATTTACTTATCAACTTCATGCAAGTTTTATAATTTTTTTAAAAGACTATTGGTTTTAAATATGACCTAAATAATTGATATTTGACGATTTATTGTTTAGATTTTTCATAAGAAAGATGGGGGTTTGAAAGGATTGACACAATATGTAATTGGTGTGAGAATGTGGTAGTGGTTTGGTGGGACATGTGACACATTATCATTTGTTTGTAGTTGCATTATGATAATGTTGATACCAATAAAATAGCAAATTAGATGTGTCTCTTGTCATGATTATGGTTCTAAGATTTGGCTTTATCCTTTTGGTCTCACTCTCATGCTCTTATTCTTCATCCTAAGAAATTATCAACTTAATTAACTCGTTTCAATATCAACCCTTCTCCTACTTCACCAACCATGTCTCTCAATATTAGGGATACCTTTTTCTTCCCTCATGAGAGAAAAATAGGACAACACATGTCTTATAATAAAAGGACAAAAAAATACCAACAAATCCTTATGGAGAAATGAAATAACAGAACAAGTTATTATTTTGCTTCTTGATTGTGTAAAAGGGATAATTTTATTTTTAATGACAATTTGATCTTTGATTTTTATAATTTAATGTTAAAATAATCTTTAAAATATAGTATAATATTAATTTGTTTATTGAGTATTATATTTTATTGATAAATTTAAGCACCCTTATTGAAAAATTAATTAATTTCCCTCATAATCCACATTAAAAATAGTTAGACAAAATATTCAAACACACACCAATGAAATTTCACACCATTAATTGATGTAGAAAATATGTGTGGTGGTTAGGAAGAAATCAATATCATAGTTTTTTTAGTCAATAACATTAAATAATGGATTTGTAATGTCATTTTTTTTTATGGAGAATAATTCACGTTATATAGTATATTAAAAAAATTTAATACCATTATTTTTCTTTACTATCAATAATTTATGTAACTATTATTATTTCCTTAATTTAGTAGGTCAATTTTATTTAATCATTTTAGAATTAAATAATATATTATTAATAAATAATATAAATATAAAAAAATGAAAAATATAAAATATTTTTTTATTAAATATATTTAATAATTTAATTTAATATTTATATATAAAAATTAAATAAGAGATTAAAATTATAAATATACAAATATATTTAATCATCAAGATAAAATTATAGATATACTATAAGAAAATAAAATAGAATGATAAATATTATGATAAGAAAAAAAAGAAAAAATATATTTTAAAATATAATAAATAAATAATTAAATTAAATATTTATTTGATTATAAAATTATCTATATAATTATTAATTTTTATTAATAAAATAATATTTAAGTAACAAATCAATCCTATAAATAATATATTTAAAAATAAAAATTATTTAAATAGAATTTTTTTAAGTTTATTTATTTAAATAGACCTATTTATTATTCAAAAAGGAAAAATAAATTTAATAAATATTTTTTCCATTTCTGCACAGTCATTTTTCATTTTAAACGCATAAATCTCCCCGCAGCACCACCAAAAGTCCATGCCCCATGATCTCAACACACAGAAACAAAAATGCAACTATTTCTACCTATTTTTCCATCACACAACATAAAGTGAGAGAGCTCGTCAAACTTGTTTTAATGAATACTAGGCCAAACCAAACCAAACCATGTTTTATAGTATTACAATGAATACTTGTCATAAAACCATGTTTGGCCCACAAACTGTCACAGTGGAGAAAATTCAAGAATTTCTTGCTACTGTAAAAGGTAGGATTAGCCTAATAAAAAAATTAACATTCTCTATTCTCTTCCCACCTTTAACTTCTAAATCCAGCTCCAAACCATTACTATAATAAGAATAGCCTCATTTTGAGGTTTGTGCAACCCATTTTCATTCCAAATATAAATAAATTGATATTATTTGAATCTATTATTAGGAATATTTAAATTATATAACTTTTCCAGGGTTTATAAATAAAAATATTATTTTATTATAAATCTCATGTATATCTATTACTTTGAATTTGTCAAAATCATTTATATAATTTTCGTTGAATTTTAAACCACTCTATTATAAAATAATAGATTTTATTTTTAAACTATTCTTATCAACAAATTGCTTGAGATGCTCTTAACTATTTAATTGAGAGAAATGAGATAATGTACTTTAAAAAATAAAACGCATCTAAAATCAAATTTTAACTTATCTTTTAAATTTATGTGTAAAGAGATAAAACGCAATAACTTTATTTATATATTTAATAATTATGAGAGTTTCCACTTTATCTTTTTTAATTTCTGTACATACATGAATTAAAAAATAAAATAAATTTGAATTTATTTATTTATTTAGAATTTAAAGAATGATAAATAATAAAACAAATATTTAAAAAAGAAAGTGAGAGAATACACATGTAACAAATTTTAGAATTGATTTCAAGCTGACTTTAAAAGAACCAAATTCAATGTTTTAAATTACTCACTCCATTCTTAAAATAATGCATTTTACTCCTTCAATTTTAAAACAACATCTTTTAAGAGTCTGTTACACAAATGAATAAATATTTATTTAACTAAATTTTAGTTAAAAATACTCATAAAATTTCCAATTTCTTTGATGTTTTCTTTATGTAAGCGAGTCTATAATATCATTAGAAAAATTAGTTTAAAAAAATTTAAAAAATTCTTATTTAAAAAAACTAAAATTAAAAAAATATGTTAATGTTTTCAAACCAAATCAATGTTTTTTTTTACCTTCCCAGTGGTAATAAAGAAAAACAAATTAATTTTTCGGATCTATGTTCAATTATATTGGAATTGTGTCTTATTAATTACATATAGTCCTTTAAAAGAGCCTCAACTTTCAGAAGCAAACCTGGAAAAGCAACCCACAAGAAAACATAGCCATTATGGACATAAAAGGTGGTCATGAATGGGCCCATAACGGCTTAGGTTCAATGATTCTGTCCTGTCCCAAACCAACTGTGTTCTGTTCTGTGTGCTCTCGACAACAATCCAAATCCAAGACAAACTTCAAATCTAGTCTAATTCTTCTCTCTTTCTTCATTCACTCACTGACCCATCATGCAAATCGTAGTTAGCATTAGTCTTCTCTTAGTGGGTTGAGCCTAAGGAAAGCCACACACTCTCATCACAGTTTAAAGTCTCACCTTTCCTTCTCTTACTCAGGTGCACATCTTTCTTGCACTTTCATTTGTCCTCTTTTCTCTTTGATTGTGCATTGACCTAAGTAAATCCTTAAATTGTAGTGGGGGTGATGGAAAAATATGCAGGGGAATGGTTGGTCTCATTAGAATGAAAGAAGATTCTAAATTTTGAAGTGCAAGACAATTATTCTAGTTGATGATAATTTAATTACACGGATAGAAGGTTGTGATAGCTAGCTTTGAGCATGTTGTTCGTTGTGTGAAACTGGGGAACTTAACTGCCACGCAATTGTGTGGTACAGAGGGGTTTCTGTGGGCTGGGTTGAATTTTGTTGAGAAATCTAAGTATCAAATGTTGAGTTTTCTAGGGATTTGGCTAATGAATGGGCTTGTGTGAAAATCGAGCATGGATCTGTGAGTTGCTTGCTCAGTTTTATTGATGGGTTAATGTGAGTTATTTCTGTTTAAAGAAGTTCTGTGTACTATTATATCGAGTCTTGATTACGGTTGGGATAATATTATGAATGAACTTGTTCAATGTGCTGGAATAAGTGATCGATGGGACAATTTGAGGAGCTTTGATTGTGTTAAGATCTTTTTAAACAGGTTTTCTGAGTTTGTTGTACTTTTCGGCATAAAACATGTGATAAATATGCATGACTGCAAATGTGACTTTTTTGGGATGCTAGTGCCTATAAGAACTTGGTTACGGAATGAAACTTAGTGCTGAATGCTGATCCCTCTTGTTTGCTTGACCTCAAACTGTTGGGACATTACATCATGGATTGACATGATTTGCATCAGTAATCTTTTTTATAAAGTTAGTGTGTGCTTTTTGACTCATTTCATATTGTTGTTCTCTACATAAAATATAGATGATACAGAATGGTGATATGTTGCTATTTAAAATTACCGGATGGATCTGCTTTATGTATTTTGGGATAGTTCTTGTCACATGATAGTGAGACAATCAGAAATGTGATGAATTGATCCTTTTTTGAAACATACTGTCGTGTTGTTTTCTGTTACCATCTGTTTTGTGGTTAAATGATCATAGATACTGACATAAGTTGGTTTAGTTGTTGAATGTTGATCTATGTCGGTCATTCTGATTTCACTGTTCCATCTATTGGTACAGGTGTAAAAGCAGAGTGTGGATATCAGGTCTTGTTTTTTCCGAAGGAAATTCACTATGTTGATTATTCTTGTCATAGTCTAGTACCGAGCTTCTATATCAGCACTTAACAGATCATGGCATACTTCTTTTAGGGATTTTAATCTGTGCCGTCTTACGTTACATAATTTCTCTACTTCTTTGAGCTCAATTTTAATTAAAAGAACCCACTCCCAACAAGGTACACTCTCTCACCCTTGTGGGAAGACGCATGCAACTATGCACAATGCATATGTTAATTCAACAGTATATGCTGTTAGGTGTAAAGAGTCATTCTCATTATCTTTCAATGGCCACTCAAACTTCTGTTATGAAAGATTTGACAGAACCCCATCATACTGTTTGTCATGCTGTGGTTGTTGTGATTGCTGTTCAGTCTCCACTTATAGAGTACCCATAAAGCCTTGCCTTCTAAATGGGTTGAGGCAATCTGCCCTTCTTCAATTGTCGGCAACTAGAAGGTTGATATTGGGTGGTGGAGATCATTATCTTTCCCGGATACCAGCTTATGGTTTCCTCAGAGATTGCCAGGAGCTTAATTCTTTTGTCAATGAGAGAACTGTTTGCAATACTAGTAGACGGAGCATAAAGGGAAGATATATTCGTGCTGCCTCACAGAAAGGGAGAAAATTTTCTCATTTGTTTGGTTCTGATGATGTCGAAGCAGTTCTCAGCTTGTTGAATGAGGAGGCAGATAAGGATGTTGCCATTTGTAGTCAATGTAAGAATGGGTTTACATCAAAAAGAATGGAAGTTGAGAAGACAAGAAAAAATGTGATGAGAGATGGGCATTTGAGTTCAAGTGAGAAAGTAAAAACAGAGAAAAAAGGAGATTTGAAGCGACATCAGTCATCCACCATAGAATTGAGGAGAGAATTTGAAAATCCCAACAAAGAAAGTGAAGCCTTTGCAAAAAGTGAAAACCATAGGAAACGGAGAGATCTGTCTAGTTGTTCATCTTATTACTCTCTCTCATCAGGAGATTTTGGGAGTGAGCTGGAAGTTCAGGATGAGATTGGTTTGGAAGAATCATCACTGGAATATGAGAAGGGTGAAACAAATCGTGTGGAGGAACAAGTGAAGGAAGAATTCAAAAGGCAAGGGGATAACTCAAAGAAGCTGCTGGGTGTTTCAAATAAGGAAAGATTTGCATTTGGTCAGGATATTGATTGGAACCTAAGGAAGAAGTCTGAAAAGAAGCTGACCGAGGGAGCTCTGCAAAACACAGAATCCACAAGGGAGCAACAGGATATGCATTTGAGAGAATTTAAAACACATGAATCTGGTCATAAAAAATCATCTATTTCACAAAAACAAATCAATAGTGAGGAAGATAAGCCATCTTTTGTTGACAATTTGGATAAGAAAACAAACAAGTCATATCTTCAAACAGTAAACAGAAGAAAGCATCAATCTATTGATTTACAAGAATCCAGTTGTGGTGAAGTTGAGACAACTTTGTTATCCCGAAAGGAATTCAGTGGCAGGGAAGGGAAGCTTGAGATATCAGAAACACTATTGAAGGAAACAGCTGACGAACATAAAAAAATTGTTGGCTCAACTTCTACCACAGGAAAGGAAATTTTGAAATCAAAGAAGGCATTCAGTGGCAGGGAAGGGGACCTTGCAATATCAGAAACACTTTTAAAAGGAACAAAGGATAAACATGAAAAAATTGTTGGTTCTACTTCTACCTCTGGAATGGATTTGCTAGATAGAAGTTCCCAGAAATATATTGGAAATTTAAAAATTGAAGACACTGAACGGACCTCGGATACTAGGATAAAGGGCATGGGAGTGAAAAATGTTTCAGTTTTGAGTTCTGTTCAGGGAGTGGAGGAGCAGGAATACCAAAAAGGAGAGAATATCATTTCACAGGCTAATGCTGAAGATACATCTATCCTAAAGTCTAGAGCTAGATTAAAGAACATGGAAGAAAATTTAAACATAAGCTCAGATTCAAGGGGTACATGGCTCCAAACAGATAAAAGGACAACTCAGAGTTTCCAAAACAGGAAAGGATCTGAACTTGTCAGCACTTTATCAGAAGGCTATGCCAGTGATGAAAAGCAAGTATCAAGTTCTCAAAAAGCTTATGAGAAGGTGAGATTCATTCCAAAATGTATATCAACATCAGTTGTTAGAACTAGAGAAAGTTCTAGCCAAACTGATGAAACAATTGCAAATTTTGAATTGGCCAGAATGGACCAAAGATCTAGCAACCTATCAATTTCTGATGAAACCACGTCAAGAGAGGAATCCAGCTTGCAGGGATCAGTGGATTTGGTTTCTGGTGGAAAACTTGTTATGTTAGCAGCAGATGAAGAAAGAAGCTCTGCAACAATGTTGATCCCTTCTTCCGAAATGGGTGGAGATTCAGCACATGTTGAGCTCACTGCAGGAATTGCAAGCCCTAAGATCTTCCTTGAAACTTCAGAAAGTGACTCTTCTGCTATGTATGCAAATTCAAGAAGAGGTTCTGCTTTGTATCCAGATGTTATTGGTTCAGCTGATCGTTTAGAGAAATCATCTAGAAAGTTTGTTGATGAGTTTGCTGAGAGGTTCAGGCATGAAGTAACAACTTCCCAAGCACAAGAGATGGAAGTTAAAGGAACAAAGTTGACACTTGAAGTTGGGGGTAATCAGATCTACAGCTCGAGCCAACAAGGCACTCAAAATGATGCTCAGTCAAAGGAGCATGATTCAGGTCGTTCCTCTGGGCTTCCTGGGACCAAAGGTCCTTCTGATGAGATGTGGGATGTCACTGAGCCATCTATTGAGCAAGGTCTAGTAGCCAAAGAAACAAAGATCAGCAAAGAAACTGGGAAAACAATTGTTACTAGAACTGGGAGGTCCTTATGGGGTATAATTGGTGATATTGTTCGATTGCGCTGGGGTACTTCAGCTGGAAGATCAGCTGAGAGGAACTCACCAAACAAGTCTGAAAGTGAGACCTGGTTTTCTGAGCAGGATCATGATGAAACCACTAAAACTAATGTCATTTACGAAACAAATGCACCACCACATGCCATGATTTCTGATAACCTAAAACCAGTTAAACAATATGCCCAAAGTGAGGGAGAGACGTCTGACAATAAAAAACTGAAGGACAAAGGAAAACATCTTGAAATTGGATCGTTAACACCAAATACATTGGAAAGTGGATCAATGTCAGTAGGTGCCTCTTATACTTCTGAAGAGGCAAATGCTAGTTGGACTGAAGATAAAAAAGATTTGAAAGGCACTACTTCTGACACACAAAATGTGGAATTGCCAATTTCAATACCTGTGAGAGGACCTCCTATTGTTGGAGATATTGTAAACATGGGTGGATCTGACATGACTGGAAGGGTGGAGTTTGTGGGGCCAATCAAGGAATCTGTTGCTCCTGTGAAGTCTGAATTATCCGGCTCAGAGAGAAAGGATGGAGAGTTAAAGCAACGGAAGCTTCAACGGACCAGGCAAGTTGTCAGAGATAGGTTTGATGACTGGGAAGAAGCCTATCAACGTGAACTTGAGCAGCGAAGAATAGATGAAATGTTCATGAGGGAAGCACTCTTGGAAGCTAAGAAGGCTGCTGATACATGGGAGGTCCCTGTTGGTGCTATTCTTGTGCAGCATGGGAAAATTATTGCTCGAGGGTGCAACTTGTAAGTGTTGTAATGTTAATATTACTTCATTTTTTTGTAACTGCCTTAGTTATTATTTTATATCTAAACGTCTGTTTCAGGGTGGAAGAATTACGGGACTCCACTGCCCATGCCGAGATGATTTGTATACGAGAAGCTTCAAACCTTCTTCGGACATGGAGACTATCTGTAAGTTTTCCTTGTCCGATATTAAATTAATATTGATATTAAGTTTAATATTCATTTTTGTGTTTCTCTTGTAAAATTTTAAGCTCATATAACTATTTTTGGCATGTCAAAATATTCTACCACTTTTATGAGACATCTATAGCAGGCAGCTGCAGATCTCTTATATTTTACTTTCACTCAACAGCAAGCAATTTGCCATTCCACAGATATTTATAAATTTAGATAAAGTTTATAAATAAAAATAAATTGAACTGTACATGTTTTGTTATTAATAATAAATATTTATTATATAAAATATCAGAATAAAATTAAGGGATGAGATTTTTTAACCATCATTCAAGGTTTATTTGCATACATGCAATGTTGGATATAATCATTGAAACATCCAATGTAGGATTATATATTAACAAGATAGCTTCATGTTTAAAGAAGGTAAAGTTATTGAAAGAAATTGAGTAAATAACGTTGGGATCAGACTACTTTATAATCTGTCACTTGATAATGCTGTAAACCTTGTTGTGGTAATTTTTTATATTAAAAAAGAATATACACTACTGTGTGGGGTGCTCCAATAGCTTCAGGACACTGTTGGAATCAGACTAATTTTTTTATTAAAAAACTGCCAATTTTTCAGGACACCACACTTTATGTAACGCTTGAGCCATGTCCAATGTGTGCTGGTGCTATCCTTCAGGCAAGAATTGACACTCTTGTGTGGGGTGCTCCCAATAAGCTTCTTGGAGCTGATGGTAGCTGGATTAGGTATGAAGCCAACGTGCTTCGTTTATTGCTTATAATTATTTTGTTACAAGGCTTTATGGTTTAATAATGTTTCATAAAAATGCATATTTTACCTATATTTGGCTGAATTGGTCTCTACGCACACTTATTTTACCTTTTGTTTCATAAATTGGCGTGCCATAAGAAACTGTATGGAAAAATAGGCATTGCACACACAAAATAATATTATATGAGAATAGGACCACAATACCCTCAATCATAATGCATATCATACATTTGGTATTCAACAATTATATAGTCACTGCTAATTTTTATGTCAAATTCCATATTTTTATCAAGATATCATTAATGACTATGAAACATATTTTTTACTTAAGAGAAAAAAAGTATATGCAATATTGGAGAAAAAAAGTATATGCAATATTGGCTATGTTTTTAAAACCGGTCATTGAATTAGTCAAACCACTGATTCATGGTTGAACTGTGGTTAAATTGGTCTTAATAAAATCATTATAATCTTGAAATGATTCAATAATACATAAAATAATATGCTAAAATATAATATCATAATTTTATGATGATAAAACATAATTTATAGGTTTTAACATTTAAAATACATATAGAAGTTAAATAAAATATTTTTTATTTATTTAACTTGAAATTTCAATAATATACTTCATATTTATTATTATTAATAATAAGATTATTGTGTAATAAAATGAAAATAGCAAATATATTAGATTGATTTTTATTTTTTGAAGAGAAAAAAAGTTAAAATAGTATTTTATTAAATATTTTTTTATTGACTTGGTTCAAATCGGTTTTTGATTGGTTTTCTGTTCTTTGACCCTATCTTCTTCAGGCAGTTTTGTAGTTATTTGAACCGGATGCTTGACCGGTTCAGTGGTTTTATGTTCTAATCAGTGGGTTTGGTTTGGTTTTTAAAACAGAAATATATAATGTAAATATTTTTTCATACTTTTAATCACAAATTATCATGTGTGATTAGTTTATTGACTTTCATAGTAACTATCTTTAAAAGTTGTATCAAGGATAATTTTTTATTGGATGACACTGATAGTGTATGTGTATCAAACACTTTACATTTCTGTATCCAACCCCATTCTCTGCTTTTTATGTGAATTTTTTTCTAATTTAATTTTCCAGAAACTTAGTGAGTTCCAATTCTTCAAATGTACTGGGATTACAACTTTTGTAGGCATGCGTTTCCTATTATTTTCCTTAATGAAACTGAGTCCTCTTTTGGAAATTTTCTTAAAAGCTCTGCACATGAAATGTTATTGAAAGCACACAGTACATAAAATATTACAGCTCCTTGTTGAACCTCTTGTACAGGCTTTTCCCTGATGGAGGAGAAAATGTATCAGAACCAAGAGATGTGCCACCTGCCCCAGTTCATCCATTTCATCCAAAGATGAAAATAAGAAGAGGGGTCCTAGCCACGGAGTGTGCAGATGCAATGCAGCAATTCTTTCAACTAAGAAGGAAAACTAAGAAAGAGGAACCCCCAAAGGACCCTTCTTGCCTTCCTGTTTCTCACCACCACCCTTCCAAGATACTCAACAAGATACACGACGTTTTCCACATAATGTTCTGTTTGTAAAAGAGCTGATACAACTATTTCCCCATGTTTTCAATGAGCTGCTAGATAATTTTTTATGAATGGTCATTGTGAAAAGTACAATGTTCAATTTCTCTAGAGTATTCAATCAGTTAAGCTGTCATGGATCAGACGTTGCCAAGCCACTGTTGCCAACTTTAATTTCAAGTAATGACTTCAGAGGCTTAAGATGATTGACCACAATGTAAAGATATAGTAAAGCCTGTCTGTCATTGCTCCCTTTCATTTATTTCGGAAGGGTGATTGGGTGAATATTTGAGATCACTTGCAAGAAACAGAAACATAGAGTATGTACAACGATTAAACTGCTGATAAAACATCACAATCAGTGTGAAATTCTAACCATCGAGCATTAACAGAAAGTGATAGAGACCTCGTACTTACATATAGGTATGTGTAGAAAATAGTAGGTGAAATTATGTTCTCATTAACATGAAACCTTTTATTCATTCCATCCCTCCTTACCCCATCAACCCAAACCTTTTGTCTAGGCAAGTATGATAAATAATTAAGTCTGCTTAGGACGCAAGTTAGGTCATGACCATAATATTAACTTTGAACGGCGAGGCTGTGATAGAAGTCTAAATGACTAGGACTTAGGATTTCAAGGGTCCCCCTTGATGCAAGGGAAGCTAACTTGTTAGATGATTAATGTATAAATGATGTCACAATCACTTGAAGGCTACTTCCTTCCTTCCTTCCTCAGATAGTCCACGCCATACGTTTCAACCTTGTGCTTCACCATAGGTCATATATAAGAAGTAAACTCTCACCATTCTCAACCACATCACAACATTCAACATACAATGGCTGCAGTGTTCTGGGCATTGGCGTTAGTATGCCTCTGCTTCCAGCTCCCTTCCAATGCCCAAGCACCTGCCGCGCCGGTGGTGCAGTTGCCACCTACAACCCCAGCTGCGACATCTCCATCTTCTAACACGCCACCGGTGGCAACACAACCACCAACGGTGGCGGCATCCCCTCCCGCCACAAGCACACCACCAACTATATCCCAACCACCTCCTAGTGTAGCTCCTGTGACACCACCAGCTCCAAAGGTTGCACCAGCTTCAAGCCCCAAAGCGCCACCACCCCAAACTCCACCACCACAACCACCAAAAGCATCTCCTGTGTCGGTTCCCTCATCACCACCCCCGGTACCGCCACCAGTTGCTACATCACCACCATCGCCACCACCAAAGATAGCCCCAGCACCAGCCATAACACCCCCAGCTCCTGTACCAGTAAAGGCAACACCAGCACCTGCACCTACAAAGCCAGCACCAACCCCATCTCCTGTTTCTCCACCACCAACACAGGCACCGACACCAGTAGTAGAGGTACCAGCACCGGCACCATCATCCCATAAACGTAGAAGGCACAGACACAGGCACAGGAGACATCAAGCACCAGCTCCAGCACCTACAGTTATCCGCAAAAGTCCCCCAGCACCACCTGATTCCACTGCAGAATCAGACACAACACCAGCACCATCTCCAAGTCTGAATTTGGTAATATCTTTGTCTAGTGAAATACCAAATTACAATCATATACGGGATATATGCCATATTTACCAATGTGTCTCATCGATGTCACATTGTTTTGATCACATTTTTTTTCTCCTTTCACAGAATGCTGCACCATCAAACCACCAGCAAGGGAGAAATATATGGGCAACAATTGGACTTGCTATTGCTGTGTTGCTGGCTGTCACCAGCTACAGCTGTTAGCAGTCTCATGGTGACCAAGGATTCACTTTAATGAGTTATTTGGTTTGCAAAATATAAAATTTTTAATGTGCATAGATCTTAATAATGAGAATCTATACCTATGATTCTTTGCTTTTTTTGTTGTGATCTTAAAGGTTATTACATCAATCTTGATCAGTTTCTGAGTCTCTGTTTATTTTCTCCCTAAAGTTATATTCCGTGGTGAGTCCAAGATTGTCAACTAATTTGAGATACCGTAGACATATCTTGCACAATAGAAACGTGAAATTTTAATTACTTACACAGAGAATAAGAATTTGCATAGCAAAATTTTTACAAAATATGCCTACAAATAATAAAGGAAATCATGAGAAAATAATATGGCAATCATGAATAAGGTTTCCAAAAGGAAAAGCGTACACAAGATTAAAAGGTAACCACAAAAATGGCTGCTAGGCTAAGAATATGAGCATGAATGAACTTTTAACAGCTGCATACACGATCTAATACATTAGCCATACCAAAAAGTTATTGTACTTTCAGATCAAGCTGACACAATTACTTCCTTTGTATGATGAACACCAAACTCAAATCCAGGAGAAGGTAGATGCTGGAAATTTACTTTTCTTTTCTTGAAGCCAAAATTGGTATTCCATTTTAGTATTCATAGAATATAGATGTGGTGCAAATGATGGATGAGAAATTTTATAAGCGAAATTGATTTTTAGTAAGAATTTGAAATGTTTTATGATAAAAGATGATGTTTAGATAAGAAATTTTAAAAGATATTAAAACCTCATGTTGTTTTAATTGTTTTATCAAAACAAGAATTACAAAATCAAATAATTTAAAATAAAAATAATCCAAATTCAATTTATTTAAATTTAATAAAAATTGTAAATCTTCTATTTAATCAAAAAGTTGGTGCATATGGAAAGACTTTTTAATAGGCAATTTTAGGAAACAAAATCTATTTGTGACTTGTTTTAAACAATATTATATTTTTTATTTATATTAAAATTATTTTTATATATTTATTTTATTCTTAATATGAAGACGTTTCAATCTAATATGAAAAAAAAGTGAAGAAATATTTTTTTCTCTTATCAATATTTTACAACCAATATTTTGTTCTGCATTTTATTTCACCTTGTCATCTAAAAAAAGTTCTTTAATAATAATAATTATTATTATAATATTCACCATACAATTTTAAATGAAAAGATAAAGAACACGCGAATAGTAAAAAAATTAAACACTGACTCTTATATTTTGTATGTTAAATACATTTATTTTTTATAATTTTTATATATAATAACTTCTAAGAAATATTAAATTAAGTTTAATGTTAAACTTTTATGTTATATTGTTTTAGTTTTTTTTTACTTTCATTAATTTTACATTTAAGTTCAGAATTTTGAATGTAATTTACGATCAATTAAACGAATTATCATAAAAATATTATGATAATTTTAAATTTTAAATTTAAATTCACAATTTTGAATATTATTTACGAGCAATTAAATGAATTATCATAAGAATATATTATGATAATTTAAAATTTAACTTTCACTTGGCATTTTAAATTTTAACAATTTTTCTTTATCAATATTGTCATTCGACTATTTAGAATATACTTCATAAAATCGATGATCATAAAAACATATTACAAGTATGATTATTTCAATTTTTTTAAAATATTATAAATATGATTATTTAAAATTTTAAAAGTTTATTTTTCTTCAAAATTTGAATTTGAAAGTTAATAATTAAAATCATAACAATAGTCATAATACTACTACACAATATGTATGTTTAATTAATAACTCAATTTTAAAAAGAATCAATATATTTATAATTATGATGCAAATTTATCTCACATTCAAATATCATAAATTTGTTAGTTTCCATTTTTTTGAATAATTAGAATCTATAACTATGATTCTTTCCTTTTTTTTTTTTTTTTTTGTTATTGGGATCTTGCTCAGAGCAACTAGTAATGGCTCTGAAGAAATAATCCGGAAATATAAAACAAATGTCTCTAGTTTTACAAGTTATTACATCAAACTCAATCAGTTTCCGAGTCAATGTTCATTTTCTCCCGAAAGTCATACTCTGTGATAAGTCCAAGATTATCAACTAATTTGTGATGCTGTAGACATCCTGCACACTAGTAAAATAAAATTCAAATTATTTACATAGAATAAGTGCTTGCAAAATATTATATCTATGTCGAAAGTGAGAAAATAAAATAAGGTTCTCCAAAAACATAAATGCATCATTAACAACGCAAGATTAAATAAAAGGTAACCACATAACTGGCCGCAACACCATGGACACAAATTAACTTGAACACTTCCATTCATGATCCATTGCATTGGCCATTCCTTTAGTTATTAAATTTTCAGAAGAAGCATGAAATCCAGTTACTTCCTCTATATGAGCACCAAACACAGTCCTGGAGAAGGTAGATATGGCAGGGAATTTTATTTTATTATTGGGAAAAATTGGTGTTCCATGTTAATAATTTACAGAATAAACATCTGGTGCGTTTTAGTATGACCACATACACATAGACATGGAGTTGAAACTGATGTACCAAAAAAAATGATCTTAATTTAAAACATCATTCATATATGCAGAAACAAAACCAAACAGGGTTGTTCTGAAACATCTCTTTTGACCTAATGTGTCCCTTATATGTGGTTGTATGAACTGTCAAAAACCACATCATATGTTGTATTTTCCGCATCTATCAGCTTCATTTCTGCCTCTAATTACTTTCATATTGTCATAATATTTCCCACATTACAAATCTGCAGGAATACAGATATCCTCGATTTACCAGTTTCTTTTTTGTGATATTTGTTCTAAAATACAGAAACCACCATCTGATCATAAATGTACACTGAGACTCAAGAAATAATAGATACCTGAACAAAAACAGCACCCCTTTCATAAGCTAGCCGGTTTACAAGCCTTTTTGTTCTTTCACCACACGAGCCACATGTAAACTGTACAAGCAAACTTCTTCTTGGAAGATTCAAGTCAATACTAGCACCCTGCATATGTAAAGCATAAGTATAAATCAATATCAAAGAAATATAGACAAAATAAGTATTTGAGAGGAAGATCATTCAAGGATGATCTCTACCATCAAGAGAAAGAAATGATTAAAACCGTATGTCCATAACAAGAAATCAAAAAGTAAGTTTGCCTTCAGAATATCATAATGGAGGAAACTAAAGATACTCTTCTCATTTTAGATTTACAATTACATAATGAAGTGATGATAGACAGTCAATAACAAGAATGAGGCATACCCTGATAGATGGGGAAATGAGTTAAGACATAAAAAAAACAGCCAAGCCTTAGTGGAGAGCATATTTGAGGTTAGAAAACAGAGTTAAAACAAGATATCATTTTTTTTAATAATTATTGAAAACAAAAATTTAACAAAATATAACCAGAAATAGTCAAAACACAATCTCAGAGTCAGAAAAATCCAGAAATTAAAAACTATGCAAATTACTGGTTTTTTCTTCCTTTATTTGAACTTTAAACGTAACAATTTTTCATAGACATTCAATAAGAATCCATACCATCGTTAGATTTTATTTAAGAATAGGATGACATAATAAAATGTGCATATCTATGTAAGCAAGTTTAATACTTACTCTTTCTCTCTCTCTCTCTCTCTCTCTCTCTCTCTCTATATATATATATATATATATATATATATATATATATATAAATATAATATTTGTTTATTAAAATCTTTGTTGATTAATTTATAATAACAACAATGGAAAAAAAAAACTGTTATGTACTTACATTGCAAAAGCTTTTACTGTCATCCAATTACATTTCGTTATATATAATGAGTTTTCTGACTTTTATGACAAGCATTTTGAATATGATACATACAGTAATTTATAGTTCATGCATATAACAATGCTCCATGGCTCTCAAAATGATTGAAGTTTAGTTTTTTTTTTTCTTTTCCTCATTGAAAAAAGCTAAATAACTTGTTAAAACAATTTAGTTATAATAAAATCACTCCCTTGGTTAATGTATTATATTCATCGGTTGCACGGATAACCGTTAATGTAATTTATTTGATGACAAATTAATAACTCATAATAATAATGCTACTATTAACATCAATATCAATGATAATAAAATAACTCACTGACCGCTGCAGAATTGGGTGATTCTGGTTCTGGGGCAGTCCCAGAATCATCACCCACCAACCCATGTACTCTAAACACCCGATGAGAAAGCCTTGGTGCTGCCACTGTAGCACAAAATCTTGACCTGAAAGAAAAATGTTTGTGTTCAAATGGAAAAGACAGAAAATAAAAAAACAGAAAAGGGATTTTTGAATGGAAACCTAACCTGGAGAGGCTAATAGATGGAGGCTTGATACAGAGAGCGTGAATAGGTTTAGGGGTTTTGTGGGAGAGAGGAGGAGCGAACACAGGGGCACTGTACAGTGCGCTTGCCGCCATTGATAATTCGTTTGTACGAGACAACTCAGTTTGTGAAAATAGAAGACGATGAGGTAATTTTATATAAATTTTACTTTAGTATCTTAATTTGTCTTTTATTTTAAATTTCAAAATCGATTTTATTATTTTTTCAAAACATATTAATGCTTAAAAAATATTTTTACATTATTTATAAATTTAAATATAATTTATGCATTACAAGCATTTATTCGTTGTAAATTTTATAATATAATTTTAAATATTATTAATATTTAAATTTTCATCAAGTCACATATTTTAAAACTAAAATAATATTTCCAAATTACACAAGCGAATCCAAACTACATATGTGGGTTTGATTTACATATAAAAAAGTTAATTGTAAACAAGAAATTAAGAGCTTTGGTTTAAATTATTTTCAATTTTTATTTTAAAAAGCTATTATTTCATTGACAAACATAACCTTCAAGTAATACTTTGTGAGATTTTTTTTAGATTTTATAAAATTTACATAAAAAATGTGTGAACGACTTATTTTATATATATTTTTTAAAAATTTATAAGAAAATTTGTAAAAATATGAAAAATTATAGAATATATCTCACAAATGTATTTTTTTAAACAGTGAAATAAAATATTTAAGAATAAAAAAATAAAATAAAAATATGGAATAACAGATAGATTCCCATTTCTCTTGAGAGTGGATTCATTTAATTCAAAATGCACATAATAGAGTGTATAGAATTTATCAACCTTCACCGCATGACAACTTTGGTGGGTTCTTCGTAACACTCTGAGTGACTTTACTGAAACCATGATGGCAACACTGAAACATTGTTATGTAACAAAATGATATGCTTCATAATTTTTATTTTTTTTCATGTAAAATATTTCAGACCAATTGTACGAGGTAAAGGTCTATTGCTATCTTTATACTGTTTGATTTACCCCCTACCTTATCCTCTTCATGTTCTATACCCTGTTGTATGAACCACTTTCAGATATTGATGCTTGATTGGTTGAAATAGCTACTTGCTCTATCTTCTTCATCTACTTGTAGGTAATTATAAATAAACAATTCAACACTTCAATCATAGGTAATGTTTTATAGTTTAAGAAAGATGTTTATGATAATTGTTTTAAAAATCCATGTTACAAACAGCTACTATATTTTTTCATATTTCCTTAATCTTCTCCTGAAAAATTTTCATGAACTTTATAAATCCCATAAGAAAATTCATGAGGAACTCATTTAATGAGAATTTTTGGTGAAATATTCACAGAAAAAGATGATTGGTCATGTCATCTTGGAATAGTTCGATGATATTCCTAAAGCATAACCTTAACAATTTTATTGGGGAAGAACATGTTTTTTTGCTTTTCCCTCTCTTTAATTGTAAATTATACATAATGTGGGATGATAAGAAGGGATCTAAAAGTACATGCAAACAGTGGAACAACACTTTTTCATTAATTTTCTATTTCTTGTTAATGAAAAATTGAGTATAGAATTGAGGATGATATCAGGCAAATCAACCAAAATGAAATAATCAAGTTGCTCAATAATACATCAACTTGAAGGAAGACAGCAAATCTTCTCCTTGAAATACTTGTCTGGAAGCATCCCCTACCCTAGAATAAATCACCCAATGACTTTATTATTAGTCTTCTTCATCCACTTCATGAAAAGGAAGTGGTACTATCTTCACTGCTCTAAACTTGCCAGCATTATTTAGATGCTCATTCTCCAATCTGCACCAATAAACATGACTGAATGTCAGGTTTTGATGGTAAAATGAATCTTTGGTTAAAATTAGTCTAAGAATGTTTTTGATCATCCTATTTTATAATATGAGGACTACAATAATTTTTCTCAAAGACAAGGACTATTTTTGACAGAAAATTGAGAAACCTAGCTTCTTTAAGACAAATATTATGCATGGATCTAGTGTCATGAGTGAGAATAAATGCACGTTTACTCATTTACCTGAAGAAATTCCATAGCCCTCGTCTAATAACTTCAAGAGATGCTAAAAATAGGCATGTAACTCGATAATCAACGTTTTCAAAACTTGAATGAAGGACAGTTTGCAACCAAGCAAGCCTCAGAATAAGATTTAACCCCTGCATAAATTGCCAAGTTTTTTCAAGGTCAATGTCTGAAAGTTGAGGCCCCATATTTGTAAATGGAAAAAAAAAAAAATTTGCTCCTTTAATGTGTGGTTTTAGTATTAACCGAAATATAACCCTCTGTTGTTATTTTTGTTCTTTTTTGATCTAGATTTGGAATCTTGCTTTTGTTTGTATAATGGCCTTATCAGCATTTCTTTTGAGAATATGTTTATTCTCCACTCTGACATTTTGTTATCATGAACACCTAATAGTATGGTTTCTGTCTTCTTTGGTTAGACTATGATAATTAGCTAGTTTGTCTAATTTTGATAAGTGAAGCTAGCATTGGGGTGCCAATTGCATGTCAATGGCCCACACCACAGGCTCCTTAGTGAATAGAGAGAGAGGGGCCTGATATGTACCATTGACAAGTAGTAAATGGCTTTTCTGTGAAGCATTAGTTCATTCCTTAGCCATGGATTCTTGGAATTCATTTGAAGCAAACCCCAGTCTTTTACAAAGTCCCAGTACAATTGGTACATAGTTGCTGCACTTGACATGATCACAAGAACACAAAGCCATCCTACACTCCCATCTTTCTCATAAGCCACTTTGGCACCTGCTGCTAACATTGCTGATACATATTTGCCTAGATTCACGAGGTGGCTTGTCTGCCCTTCATCAAACCATCTCCTAGCACACTGCAAAACATCAGTTAGGAGACATCAGTTCTATCCATTTCTGAATTATTGGATTGGGTATGCTAATATGCTTCAAGGGAAGAAAAAGACAAATATTTTAAATTAAAGTGTAGTATCATCCCTTGAGGGTTTTTGAGATTACCCATGACCCTTGCTTTTTTATGGTTAACCCCTTACGGGTTACAGATGTGTTTCTTCACTTGGATAACAGGGATGTCGATGTAATGTATTTTAAACAATGAAAAGGGTAATGTAGGAGTAAAAGAAATGAAGAGTGTCATGAGAAATTTTAATGACACCTTAAGAAGTGTTCGCATAATTTACTCAATATTTACCTGCATAGCCCTCCAATAATAGGGGAGAAATGACACTGCATAAGCTAGATCTCTATAGTGCTTTGTCCTCATACAATATCCATAGTCCTGAGTTTTGTAGCTACCAGTTATATAGTAACATGCCACGTACTCAAGGTTCCTGAGCATTGGCACCTACACAATAATGATACAATTGTTAAATAAATAACATATTTTCCCCTAAGAGTAAGCTATTCATTGATAGTAAAAAAGAGCTTTACTACCTGACTACAAAGTTGATCAGCCATGAAAAAATCCAGCATGACAACCTAAAAAGACAACCGAGAAGCCGGTGAGATTATGTCCACAATAATAATTGCTTTTGCTCAATTTTTTCATTAAACTTGTTTTTACTTTTTGGACAATTAGTGGTACTGTGTGTTGTGCCTGATGACATGATTCTGCAATGATGATAGTGGGAAACATTACCTTGTAAAGGGGTGACAAAATTATGTTCCTTATCACACAAAGGAAACGGTAGCGGCTTGAACGGTATATAACGTTGAAGGGGCATACTAGTATTAATAAGAAGCCCTGCATGTGTAGTAACAGTTAATTTTTCAGCTGAGATTACATAAGTATTAGACATTAGCCTAGTGCCAGAAAAACGTAAAAGTGAATGTGATGATATATGATAAAAATAATTACCAGAAGAAGAAGTCCGGGAATGTCTTGTACTTTGGCATATGAATACCCTTTTGTCAGTAGAGTCAAATGAAGAAACATTACTCCAACCACAGCACTCATTGCCATCGTGCAAATTAAGAATATATCTCTATACTTGAGTTCCTTGGTAGGGGCCAGCTCAAAAATAAAGCTGTAGTTTATACGATTTTTTCTCCATGCAAGAATATTGCAACCATACAGAAAGAAATGTAGGAACACAAGGCTGAACATGCTGCAAAGACATGACATAACTTATTGAGGTGCATTTACTACGCAAATTTGAATGAAATATTTTGGTGTAAGAACCAGGTCTACTTACCTAAGCACAGGGTAGACAGTTTCCATGTACACTGAATTTTGATGTGGTCTATACAAACCAGTCACATGAGCCATTATAGCATATCCCGCAAGAAGTGCCACGAAGCATCCAGTAAATAGTCCTGATTTTATTTGAAATATAATCTAATCAGTAATGTTGAAAGTAACTTTCTATGTAATCTGCATTTTTTAGAATCACAATGTTTAACAATTTTGTATGGATGCACCCGTTAAATTAACCAATAAGGAATTATTAAGAACATGGAACTTTAGATTTGCCTCTTTTTACATGGTTTTAGCTTGCAAGCAGGATCAAAATAGGTTAAGGTTTGCACAAACAAGGAAATGATGAGACAGATGTTATCATGATTGTGTACAATTATTGCACTAAAGGGAGGTATCATCTTGCTAGTGAAACCCACATAGGTACCATTTTCAAAAGAACCATTCACATGCTTCCCTTACATGTTGAAATGGGCTTTTTAAGATACATTCTTCATTAGGTTATATATGATATAAGATTAGCATGGGACCTGTACTTCCCATCCACCAAAGAGTGGACCAGTTACTGCCATTCCTTTTGTGAACCTAGTGCTTAAAAGGTTCCATATTGTGGTTTCTTTAGATATAATGGTCACAAAGCAAACAAACCTAAAGATCTCTACCAAAATGGTTGATAAGCAAAAGACAAAATTAAAAAGACCAATACATGGCTGAGAGTAACTCACCAATGAAGAAAGTTACAGCATGTGATTCTTTGCGTTGGCTTGGTCTAAGGTATTTCATGGCCTTTCTTCGGTTGTCCTCAGTAAAAAATTTTATGAACAGTTCCTCAACTTCGTCAGCTAACTTCACCACCTGTCATTTCTCATACTAATAAGCAAACAAAGCAAAGCTAGTTCGCCAAGTTAAACTCGTGCAAGTGACAGACAACCATATCTAATTTTTATTTTGCATGACTCTAGGTCATCTAGTGGTGCACAAATGTAACATAGGATTATTGGCCACTTGAGATTGTCGGTGATCATTCAGGTGGAAGCATAACTTGTGGCCAAACTATTGACATGATTTGATATGGTATCACACATATATTTATCAAAGTTTGATTTGATGGAACTTAGATATTTTACTAGGCAGCAGTTTTAGCTCATGCCTGAGATGTACCTTGTCTGAGCTATTGAAATAGGAACTCTCAACCACTTTGAGATAAATGGGAAGAATTTGTTTTTCTGTGACCTGAAAAACCACAAAGAAACGTTTTGTATTTTTTGTTAATACAATATAATTGAAACTTCATTCGTAACATCAACTTTGAAGCCTCCAATTCGCTTTACCTTATCAAACTTCTTCAGAATCTTTATAAATGCAAGCATGTTCAAGTTCCTGAAAATTGGACAAAGCATAAGATTTTTCATATTAAATGCTATAAATCTGTTAAGTTTATTAAACAAAGTCTACATGTGACCATAGAGATTTGTGACTGTATTTTTACCTGTAAACTTTGAGATATCCTAGGCCTTTGTAGAGTTCAATGAAACCTCCTTTGATCATCTTTTCAGCATGGTGCAAATTAGTCTTGTTCAGGTGAATGTTTCCACCTTCTGGACCACATTTCCTTGAAGATTGGTTTAGCAAATCTTCCCTGAGAAGATAGCTTATGGCTGAAAAGGTTCTCGATGGTGTGGTCAAGGGAATGTTTATCCTCAGATTCTTCCCTTGGCAGTTGATAACGCGGCCAGAAAGTGTTCTCAATTTACCATCTTCTCTTTTTATCTGCATAGACTTTGCAAGTTCTTCTGCACGAGGGGAATCTGAAAACTGTGCTCCAGTTTTCTCCAATTCATCTGTGCTTGTAGTGTCCTGCATTTCTTCTTGCTGTGATCTGCTCCTAACAGAGTCCTCCTCTGTTTCCAATGAACAGAGTTTTAGACACACAGAATTATTCATCATTTCCTCACATTATGTTTCATGTAAAAAATACGAATAAATGTTTAATCAGTTGTTACCATGATAAATTTTTTGAATAATATCATTTTATACTTTATAACTTTTTAATCAATATTTACTAAAAAAAACACTATCATTCCACTTTACTTTCGAGCAATTCATGCACATGTTGTTTGTACTAAATAGTAGCACTGGAAAAAAAAAATGTTGTCAACTATCTAATGTTGCTATCGTTACGAATAACATATACATAAAAGTAACATGGATTAATTATAATGATTGGAATGAAATAAAATTTTGAATAAATATTCATATTAAGACATTGAATTATGCAATATCTAAATTAAAAAGATAAGGTTAGTTGTGTACCATTAGAGAATGTGCATGAGATAGATTGATCTTCACTGGAGCCATGGGAAGAGCCTGCTTTGCTCTGCTGCTCCTTGAATGTGGATTTGAGCATAAGGAGGATTTCCATTTGTTTTTTCAAGGAATCTCCTCTATCCATGAACTCTTTCTCCTTGGTTCTATAGAACTTGTTGACCTTGTTTAGTTGCTGGTCCAAACATGCAAAAAATTCTTTAGTAGCATCAGTGTCAGAAAATTGCTCAAGCAGTTCTGTCTCATACATGTCCCCATTAAAAGATGATGAGGCAAGTTTCCTGTGAACCTGAAATGGACCAAAAGAAAAACAAAAAACAAAACTTATGAATAAACCAAATACACATGAATATTGGACAAACTTTGTTCTTAGGTCTTAAGAAAAAGATAGATTACTTGAATTGGTCCAAGGTCTCTATGGTGGTGGCTAAATGGAGAGTAGTTTCTTAAGGATGAAAATATGTACTTAGGTAGAGAACTACTAGAATTGAGTGTATTGTTGGTATTATTAAAGAGATGGACTTTTTTGAGATCCTTTTTGAGTTGCCAATAATCCACAAAGGCCTCTTTCCATTCTGGAATGAGTTGCCCTTCAAACTGCTTTGAGAACTTCACCATGTTCGTTGTTTGCTCTTTGAAACCTTAGAAAGAAGTAGAGGCTCTAGCTCTAGATGATGAGTGTTGTTTCCTTGTGAGTGCTTAATGGAAACCCAAAATGACATTATATATGGGGTTGGAAAAGGTATTTTGATTGATGTTGTGGTACTGATGCTCTTGAGCACATTCTATAATATACTTAGATCCTATGCTTCTCCACTTGAGGATTTGGCATGTACACTGGCATGCTTCACCGGAAAGTAATCAAACCACCACCGGTTAGGATTACTTCTCGGCCAACATATCTTCATGAGGATTTTGAAAAGAGTGGGAATTTAAAGTGGTTCTGTCTGAGTAGGGACAAATTGGACTATTCAGAATACACATAGATAAAGTTTGCCACAATAATTCACAAGCAAAAATAATTTTGCGCACAAGAGAATTGTTGCAGCTGCTGTTGTTTTTAATTTCTTATTTTTGATATGGATTGTATTTAGTGTGATGGTGTCCTATAAGTTAAGTTAAGCATTTGTTCAATAGTTCAAAAGGGAAACATATTGGCTAAATTATTTGCTAGCACACAAAGGTGCCCTCTAATTAGCCCAGCCTGATTTCCCACTAATTCAAGATAACTAAAAGCTTTTCACAACTTCTCCACTTTCATTAAGCAACCCTCTTTTGTTTTATTGTAAAGTTGAGTCCATGGCTCACGTCTAAACCAAGAAGTTGTTCTCATCACTTTAAAAGCATCACAGTTTCAGTTTTAGGAGACCTTGATTGATGAGTGGCAAAGACAAGTCAATTTTGTACCACAACAAACATAGGGAAGAACATTACCACCTATTGCTTCCCTATTTCCGTGCCAAAAAAGAAGAATATGTGCAAAACATATGGAAAAAGTAGTATACTGAAATTTTATAAATCCAACACGTATTTGTACACTCCTAGTGACACCTTTTCTTTCTTTATATTATTACAGGTATAGATTAGGCAAGCTCCAACATTTACATGCTGGAATCTTTGTACATGGGAATTGGTGGATAAGGCTCACCATAATACACGGTTTTGGTATGGAATAATTCCTCCATACTGCATGTCCAATGTACTTAAGATAAGCAGCATATAATAGTGTGATGACATCTAATAATGCTGGTAATATTTTTGGCATACTTGTACCTTGCTAATAATAACAGTGAAAGAGCTTCTGTGTTCTATTCCTTGGTTCTAAACCCACTAACTAGCCAACTTGTGAACATGATGGGACCTTCCATAAAAAGCTACAGAACTTGTAACATGTACCCTTTTCACTCCTTGCTCTCGAGAGACTCTACTGCTATAGTTTCCACCAATCTCTGGATCTTATTAATTGAGAAAACAAGTTATTACATGTCACATAAAATTATGCAGATCAGAAATAAACACGTAACAGTCTTAGATAAAGTAACATTTTCTCATCAAACAAACAAACAAACAAAGGTGCCATCATTTCAGTTTTCTACCTAGACATTGATTGCAAAATCACCATTATAATTGTGGAGAACTGACAGCGCCTCTAAAATGGGTGGCTCAAAGATACGCTAATTTTAGGTTTTCTTTTTCTTTTTCCATTTGGGGCCCTCTCATGCATGAAAAGATATTTGCACACAACAATACATGGAAAAAGAAAATATCATCAATATTGTTTAACAATTTGCATAAATAATGCAAAGGATAACTAAAGTAGGTTCCTAAGGATGAATTAAACAATCTGTGTAACATACACAGGTAAGGAAAAATCTAACAACTCAGAAGCATCATGTACCACCTATAATAAATATTCTTTCTCATCTTTGACATGTGAACAGAACTTGGTACCTTCTCACTTAAATTTGTATAAACTAAGATATCAGGGAATTATTATGTGCATAGGGTCGGTAGAACATTAGTTGAAGAAAAAAAGTAGAAGTTTCTAAGATAGAGGAGCTAGTCTAATGAAGCACCCAATTTACATGCCATAAACAAAAATAGTAACCCAAATTAGAACACTGCAATAGGCTATAACTCTTGCTTATAATACTGATCCTGGTATAAGATCAATTTGCATGGAAAAGTCGATTAAGAAGGAAATGTTAACTACATATATGAAGTTTTCTCCTATGATAGGAAAATGATCTACATAAACATAACAGAAGCATATGTATTTCCACGTGGAAAAAGATAAAGAACTGTGAGGGTTCAGGCGTGTGGCACCAATGACAGGCCATGAAAATGATGGTCTGATTAGGATAGCATATAGCATTTGGTGCGCCCTAGAGGATCTACCCAACCCACCACTGTGTTCATTCATTCATTATACATCATTATTTACATTATCGTGTTACAATATACAACGTTTTTTTACACACAATACCATACATTTGACCCTACATGCCTTTTGATCTTGACCTTTGTTTCAACAACGTGGGCCAGTCACCAAAGCATGTCTAGCAAACAGTGCTATTGTTCTCGTGTTCATTGCACAATTCTACAGAGGCATTTATGCAGCATAGAATATAAATTTGAGGGAAATATCTTGCATGCGTTAATTTCTTCAGCGCTTTTTTGAGCATTCAATTTATGTTCTGACATGCATTTCATCATTTTGACATACATATACCACTGAATTACATTTCGTTTTCACCTTTTTGTGGGTGGTTCAAGAGATTTATTTCCCATGAAAACTTTTGGATCAGAGATAAATTTCTAGATGAAACTTTGTCTCTAGTAGAGGAGATACTATGGTTTGATCCTTTTGATAATTTAAATTGGCATCAAAAGAGGAAGTTTCTCAATGATGCTACCTATTATGTCTGGATAAACCTTACATACATGTATGTGACTCAAGCAGAGGCAAAAAGCATATTGAAGAATTGCCACTGCCACTCTTCTCCCTAGGTAGCCATTTTAATGGGGGAAAAACTGTTGCCAAGGTTCTCTAACCTAGCTTCTATCCATATTCAAAGATGCATAAGGTGTTTGGTGAATGGTATATCAAATGCCACAACAAAACATGTTTGAGGTGGAGGTGTTTGGTCACTAGCACATGACTTTCTTCTTATATCTTTCCTAGTCTCAATTTACTTACTAATGGAGATTAAAGATAATTTACATATTTTTCTCTTTTAATCCATCAAAATACTTTTAAAAAATAAAATTAAAATAAATTAAAACTTTAAAAAGGACCATAATTTTCCTAACGAGAATTACATTATATCAATAGGAAATACATTTTAATAAAAATTAATTATAATGCGTCTAAATGGGTTAAAGCTTTAATAATATTGAAAAATATATGTTAAAATAATTATTAAATTATTTGGATAATCTTTTTATTCTATCAATTTTGCAACGAACAGTTAACCTTGAAAAAGTAGCTAGCATTTAAAAAAATGTTGGATGTTAAACATAATATAAATAAGAAATGATGGTTAAATTTAACATGTATGTTGAAAATTTGGATTAATTTATTTCAACATCTTCATGTAAACTTGATATTGACAAATCTCTTGCACCCAGATTCGCTTTTGAATACCCTATATATTAAAATCAAAGTTATTTCTATATCAAGAAAATTGAAGAAGAAAAAAGTGAGAGATTATGTAAATTTATGAGTTCCACCAATTCAATGAATTGTCACAGATATTCGATGCTTCCATGACCGAAATTTCGTCACCTCTGAATAAAATCGCGCATAGTATTTCAGAATATGATGCCACAATGAATTCTGCACCCCTTTCCTCCATTATTTACGAATGCATTGTTTTCATCTCAAAACAATAATTTCTGTATTGGATCTACGAACTTAACTCATACATGCATACAACACATTATACTAGAAATATCTTAGAATATGATTCTCTTCATTATGGTTCAATTAATAACTTGTAAAAACAATTGTTCAATATAAACCCAGAAACTCTTGCGTAAAAGTTGATCCGAAAGAATATCCTAGTAATTAATTCGCTTTTACATATATTACCATTTGTTAGCCCATTTGTTGAGAGTGATTGAACAAATGACACTGTTCTTTGTTTATCTTCTTGTAACCTTTATTTTTTTTTTTTAATTCTTAATTATATATTTCAAACTATATTTATTTTCTTTTATCTTGATTTAGAAGTGTTCATTCACGAGATTAATTGTTTCATAATTAGTTTAGAGTTGAAGGATTAAATATGTAATTGAACATCATGATTATTAGATTGAAAATTACTTATATTTTTACTGTGATGGGAGTTATTTCTGTTAGATATATGATTAAATTGATTAATCTCATTTTATAAATTAATGTAATAAGGTGAATTAAACTCATATTTACCTCTATTAGAATTTATTCCATTGAACTTTCTTTTTATATCTCTTTATCCAATTTTTACTGAATCATTCATATTATATATGACGCGGGTATACGTATTATAAATCTTATATCGACCTATATAATTAAAATGAAAATTTCATATCATAAATAAATTTTGAAAAATAAAATTAGGTTAATATAAAGCTTTTTCGTATATTAATATATTATAGTGACATAAAATGGATGTAATAGAAAGTAGATATTCTTTAGTGGAGTGGATGTAGCAAGAAAGAAAAAAGAGATACGTAGTTTAATTAATTTATCACTTGAAATAGTTTAACCTAGTTTTAAAAAGATTATCTTTGGTGAAGAATATACGTGGTGTGATTAAAAAGGTAAAAAGAACAGGAAGAAGATTATGCGAATGTGATATTTGGTAATTAATTTATACAAAATTTCCCACGTTGCCTCTTTTTGACGTGGATAAGATTTGAAGTTAAGTTGCTATCATTTCATTATCCACCCTGCAGACATGAATGTTGATGCTTAAGTACTGGGCATATACCAATTTCTTAAATGCCACAAAGGTTCTCTTCTGCTATTTATGACTTCAATTTGCACAACACTACATTATTTGCCACCATGAAAGTTTATTAGCCAGTATATGCTCTATTCTTTGCATGTGACACTCTCTATTTCATTAATATTTCCCTTGGTTTTCAAATAATGCCTACCATGAGGTTCTGATTCTCCTACAGATGTTACAAACCATTGAATTCCAAACAGAATACATAAATGCCCTTCTTGATGCTGACCTTTAACATCAAATAAAACTCATATTTAGGGTTTGCTTAATTTAATGTCATCTCTTAGGGCCATTGATGTGTATGTTAGAGAATAGAAACTAATACTTGGTATCAGTACATTATTTATTTATGCTATGAACTTTGATTCCATTCATGTTTGGCGAATCAAAATAAACATTTATCACAGTTCCAAATTGAGTGATGGATAAAACAAAATCATCTTATTATGAACTCAACCAAATCATCTTCCACTTAGTTTAAAATCTGTGACTTCCTGTTGATGAGAAGTCTTCAAGATTACGAGTTCTCACTATGATTTTCTATTGATGTTGTTGTTGATTCTCTATACAGAAAAATTAACCTAATAATCTTTGTTTCCTTTCGGGAAATAGGAATATAGCTATTTTTTATTACTAGACTAGTAAAAGTATGTCGCAAAATAAAATAAAATCTAATGTTTAACATTGTAATAAACTTCTTACCCCGCACAAGACCCCAAATTACTAACATAAAATCTAATGAAAACAAAAACAAAAAAGTGGACCAATATTGCTAAAAATACTTCTTCTTCTTTTTCTAAAACAAATTCTTTTTAGTTAAAGAGTCTTAATCAAATTAAAATATATTAGTTTTAATTTATTTTGATATTAATTAAAAATATTTAATTTATTTTTAGTAAGAAAACTTTCAATTTTCTATATAAGTTATAGTAAAAAAAAGAGTATTTTGAACTAAGTATAAGAGAAAGAAAAATGATATATATATATATATATATATATATATATATATATATATAAATTTAAATGTTGAAAAAGAAAATAATTAAATATTTATACTTGTCCCTCTTTATAAATTTTATTAGATAATAAGTAAAAAAATATGTGTTTTGAGACTGAAAATGAGATAAAAACTAAAATATTAATACGGAAATTAATCATCGAAAAAGTGAGTGAAAGGATTCAAAATAAAAAATAATAAAAATACTCGACAAAAATAATAAGTCCAACCTGAAAAAAATGTAAAAAAATAAAAATTCGAATGTAAATCTATTTATATTGTATTTACACAAAATACCATTTTTTAAAATTTTTATTTTATTTTTTATATTTGGTCGACATTTATAAATAAAATATAAAAGAGATATTTGTAACTTTTTAACAAATAATAATAAATTTAAACATAGATTATTTGGGTTCGATCATTCTCATTAAAAAAAAGATTTCATATTATTCAACATTTAATAAATCATTATATTTTACATATCTATAATTATATAAGATTCATCTTTTACATTTAAATATTATTTAATTTTATAATTTTTATTCAACATGAAACTTGAAAACATATTTAAATTTTATCATAATGAAGAATTATAAAAAATTAGAAGAGTCCTAAAAAAATATATTAGAATTAATAAAGAATGGAATGGTGATATGTACAAGTTTGGAAGCAACAACACCAATAAAAGTATGATATGAACACCAAATTGACTGGTGTTCTGAAGCAAGAGGCTACCTAGTCAATACAAAGTAGACCATAGAATAGAATATTGTTGCACAAGCACAGTAATAATTACAAAACATATACCAAGCGTTGAGGACCAACATTCCAAACAGACTTCATAACTTCTCATAAGTTCTTAGTGAATGACTCACTACAAATCCAACGCATTAACTTTTGCAATTTCAAATTCAAATGAGTTGAAAGATATGTCAAAATATATGTCTGGGTAAGAAGTTATCCACTTGTAGAATCCTTAGAACATTCATCCACACATTTTGTTTCATTCTCTCTCACTCTTTTAGGGTTTACTTTTCTTTTTCCTTTTTTTTTTAGGAATAAGTGACTTGAGTTTGCTTTTAGTTTTTTTTTTTTTTTTAAGAATAAGTTTTCATGCTGTCTTTATCATTATATTATATATAAATAATCTCATAATAACTGCTTCAATGGTAAATGTGTAAGGTTATCTAGTTTTAATATGTTTGGTTTCTAATCCAACAAAAATAAATGAAACAGAACAAATTTGCCATAATCAAAATAAGTTGGTAGTGAATCAACTGTTAATATTCTCTCTCTCTCTCTCTCTCTCTCTATATATATATATATATATATATATATATATATATATATATTAAAAATATATTTAATTATATAAATATGTTTATTAGATAAATTAAAAAAATTATTATATTTATATATTAAAATATTTAATTATATTTTATAATTTAAATTTAATTAATTATTATTTATTATTTAAATTATAATATTATATATTTTAACCACATAACATAAAAAAATATAATATTTTTAATTATATTTTTTATTTTTATTTTAATATATAAATATTTTTAAAAATTAATCAATATATCAGTCTTATCCTTATTTATTGAATTACCTAATAACAAGATAAAACGAATTAATAAATTAAAATTTCTTACTTATCCTATCAATTTAAGAAAAATAAATAAGTTAACTTACTATACCTAACTTATTTTATCATTCCTAATAATAATAATCATTCAATTTTAATTAAATTAATTTACGCAACAAAATAATTTTCCCAATATATATTAGCTTCAACCCATTTAATTAAAAGACATATAAATAAATAAATGGGGAGGATTCTTTATTTTTAACTTACAGCCAGACATGATAAAAGAATTGGAAAACATTAATAAAGAGAAGAAAAAGAAGAAGAAAGGTAATCATTAACTTTCATCAATTCGTGAAAGACAAATATCTAAATCTAAGCACATGAACAATATTCAAAACCCTAAAATTTGAGACTCGTAATTCATCTTAAGAAAAAAAAAATTACAATCATGACACTGAAAAATACTGGTTTTGAAAGATGGAAACTGTAATCTTTACTAAGCATAATGATTTATCAAAAACAAAAGAGACAACCTAGCAACGATGATTGCATATGATATAGCATTTGTGTTTGTTGGGATGGTTAATTATCCACTACACAGTCTTCTAGTTTCTTTAAAGGAATTTCATATAAACAAAAACCCTAAAACAATCATCTCATTGATGTGAAGAATAGTTGGTACAAACCAAATTACTGGATTGCTTGATGGTACTTGATGTTTATCTAATAGGTTCATAAAATTAAATTACTTTTTATATTTAGTCCATATAAAAATGTAAAGAATATGTAAGCCATTTTGATAAAAATGTTCCTTATGTTCAGGAAAAGCTTTGTAAACCAGGAAGAGTATGCAAAATAAGAGTTGTTCCTGTCGCATACCAGGTTGAAGAATAAACTTTTATTTATTTATTTTCTTGCTGGAGAAAGAATCCCAATCACCTTTTGGAGATTTTGAGCATTTAGATGACGATTAGGGCATATAGCATTTTGGATTTAATTAGTTTATTCTAATTCCCTTTGTCTTGAACAAAGTAAATTACAAAAGTAAAATCATAGAGACAATAAGAAATGGTTGCCACGTGTATTGTGGTATATAATGATGAAAGATCTTACAGATACTTTTTCACTTTATCCCACGAAAGACGCAAAAGATTGGTTTATGGATAAGAATTTTATACGGTATGTATATCTACACAACTTCTAAAATCTATATACCACTTGGATATACTTTTAACCTGATAAAAAAATCCTCTAAAAAAATATAATAAAATTTCTTGCATTTTATTTAGAAAAGGGCATTTTATCATTTGTATGAATGTACGAAGGAATTTTCTTTTTATAACCTATTAAATATAAATTATTTTATCATTTATCAAATACAAATAATTTATTTATTTAGTAAAATATAAATTAATAATTACACAATTTCTATAAAAACCACTTCTAATTAATAATGTGTAAATTCTCCAAGACTAAAACCACTTCTAAGTTTCTCACACACATCATTTGATTAGACATTTTAATAATATATATGTAAAACATTTAATATTTGTTTTTATATAAGTAAAATATACTACAAAATAAAATATTATTTAATTAAATTATCATTTTTACATAATAAATAAATAAAATAAAAATTTATATATATATATATATATAATATATAAATATTAAAGTTTAACTTATTTAAATAAAATTATATGAATGTAAGCAAGAAACAAAATAAAAATTATTTATCAAAAGATCAAAATAATTTGTTTATTAAAACCATAAACTAGATAAAAAAACTAGCATTATAAAATATTACAAATTTTGTTTCTAATATATATATATATATATATATATATATATATATATATAATTGTAGATATTATAGAATAAATTTAAATTGTGATTTGATAAATTTTAAATATTGTTATTTTTATGAATTAATTATGATTAATTTTATATTATAGAAAAAATTATGATTAATATATTATGATCTTTATGAATTAATTATAATTAATTCTAATTATCTGATATTCTGATTTCTTATAATAAATTAGATAAATTTGTAGAAAATTTATATATTGATGTCTGGTAATAAATTAGGAGATACGAAACTCTAACTTGATAACTGATAATGATAGATACAATAGTACGAATATTTAAGATATTTAGTCTAAATGCATTCAAATCGATGAAGAATTTCTAACTAACCTTTGGCATAAATGGATGAGACATTCCTCTTTGAAGATCACATAACTAAACTCATATGTTATTAACAAAAATAATGAATTTGCGAATAAAGTTTGTGATATATGTCAAATGACAAAATAAAGTGGAGATAGTTTTTCTTTAAATAATAATAAAGTTATTAGCAGTTTTAAATTAATTCATTATGATTTGTGGAGATCCTATTGAACTTCATTATCTTGTTGTATGTCTTATTTTTTAACTATAATTTATAAATATTCACATACCGTTTGAATTTATCTTCTTTCACTAGATAAAAATAAAGTTTCTAGAGTCCTATTGAATTTTGTTGCTTTAGTAGAAAGATAATATCAAAAAATAAATTATAATCATTAAAGTGATAATAGAATTGAGTTTAAAAGCTTGTCATCAAAGTTTCTTAAATTAGACATTATTTTTCAATCATCTTGTACATAAACACTTGAACAAAATGGTCCAGTTGAAAAAACAAACATATTCTTAATATAGCACATACTTTAAAATTTCAAGGTAATATTCTTATCTCTTTTTAGAGTAAATGTATCTAATAAATAAAATGTCAACACCTTTGTTAGATAGAAAAACTTCTTATAAAATGTTATATGGACAATCACCTTCAAATAATCATTTAAAGGTGTTTGGTTCTTTATGTTATACTCATAACAAAGGTAGAAAATGAGATAAGTTTGCTAGTTACACTAAGAAACATGTGTGTGTAGGTTATCCTTGTAGAAAAAAAGAATGAAGGTTGTATGATATGAAGACTGAAGTTATTTTGCGTCAAAAAATGTCAAATTTTTTTAAAATGAATTTTCTTTTGCACAACCTACTAGTAATAAATATGTTCCTATTATAATGACATTTGATGTTAATATTGAAGATTATAGTATTAAAAATTGTGTTGATGATTTTGAATTTAAAAAGATGAGACAATAAGTGAGATAGAAAGGGAAGAAAATTTAGAAAATAATCTTCCTTCCCAAAATGAGCTAGAAAGTGATGAACATCTTGGATGGGAAAAATTTCTCAAAATTTCCTTTGTGAGACTTTGAGAATATGCGACTAATATGATTGAAATAAAAAGTTCATCCAGTTGTCCTTCCACTACAAAAATGGTTATGTTTAAATTTTACTACCAGTTATGGTACCAAAAAATTGGGAACTTCATCAAATAAATATTCACAATGCTCTTTTGCATGATGATATTGAAAAAGAAATGTACATGAAGTTGCTTATAAACTTTTACTCTCATAATTCAAACCCAAGTGTGTGTTGTCTTTAGAAGTTCCTATATAGTTTAAAACAAACTCTTAGCTATTGATTTGTCAAATTGATTAGTGTCTTAAAACAATATGGATTTAAATAATCTCTTTTCGATTATTCATTATTTATTCTACAAAATGATTTAGTGCAACAATCTCTATCCAATGGTTCAAAGATTATTTGAGCAAATATTTTCAAATGAAAGATTTGGGAAAATTGAAATATTTTCTAGGTGTAGAAGTGGTTAGATCAATTGTTGGCATTTTCTTATGTGAAAGAAAATATATTTTAGACATAATTAGTGAAACTAAACTATTTGGAGCAAAGCCTATGTATTGAGATATCCCTTAAAAGTTTCTCCGATATTATATTTCTTATATTTGTACCAATCTTTACAAATTCTATTTAGGAATAGTTATTATGTAAGATTAAGGGATAATAAACTTTATATTATATATATATATATATATATATATATATATATATATATATATGTTGAGTTATGCTAAATATTAGAAAAAAATGGAGATTCACTTACGGAGACACAATGATGTTTAAGTTAGTATAAAAAAGAGGATAATAATAATAGAAATGTCTCTAAATAAAAATCATATGATTTATAAATAATATAGTGATCTTATTTATAGGTCTTTTATTAGGGTATTTCAAATAGTAAATTATATTTATTTAATGTTGATTATAACTGAGTAATCATATTCATAATATAAAATGATATAAGAAATATTTTTGTTATATAATAAATGTCATGCATTTGGGAATCTCGACATGTACAACACTCACTTATGGAACAAAATTATCATTTTAACCTTGTTAAAGGTAAATTTCTTTCTAATCTCAATCAATATAAACATTTGATTAATTATTGATTTATCTGGATTTTACTTGACTTGAATTGACATATTATGCACATGTTCTTTAGTAATTTATGCAACAGTCACATAGGGATATTAAAAAACATGGATACTATTGTGCAGGGCAACATGTCATTTTACTTATAGATCTCTTAGAGATTAGATTATTTTATTAGAAAATTCTCTTATTTCTTGAAAGACAAAGAGACAACATATAATATCTTATTCATCACTTAAAAGAAATTCGTTTAATGACTACTATTACATATGAATTAAATTGGATAAAAAACATTATTATCTCTGACCTTAATATTTCTTATTTCACGTACATATATATTATGATAGTCAAATGATTTTACATATAATAAAAAATTTCGTATTTAATTAACACACCAAACATATTAAAATAGATTATGATTTTATTGATAAGATATTTTATAACCCCTATAATTATTTTATTTTTCCACTCATATACATAATTTATAGGTATATTTACCAAAACTTTAAGACGTGATAATTTTCTTCCATATTTCACAAATTTGACATTTGATATTTCCATAGAACGTATTGCATACCAAATTTAAACTGTGGTCACAACAAATCAAAATTTAATTTTCAACACATTATTCCGCAATAGAGATATAGACCACGCAACTAATGATTTATTGTAGGAATAGAAAATAAATGTTATGGTGGTAAAAAAATATTATATTTACTGAAATGCATACCATTCAATTCAATCGATCATATTTTTGTGAGCAGAAGAACCATGGTTTTCTAGGATATATTAGTTGAAAGCAAACGTGATGTGGTTGTATACAACAAATAAATGATAAAAAAAAATGGTATGTTTCAGAAATGCTCTTTGCCTAACCCTTTTAACATGAGGTTTGAAATAAAACAAAGGGTGGTGTTGAAAAAGATAAAGGTGAAGCTTTTTCTTTACCATCTTCAAATTATCACAACCTATTCCGTACGCAAATGCAGAAAATCCGAAAGGTAAATCCATTCTCCCAATCTATTTCTCTATTATTTATTTATTTATTTATTATTATTATTTTGATAGGTAGTTAAATTACATGATCTGAGTAGGCATTAAAAAACACAAAAAAATACATCCAAACAAAAATATTCAAAAAAAAAAAGAAAATTTAATTAAAGTAATTAAAATTTAACATTCTTAAATTTTTTACAAATTTTAAAATTTCTTGTTCAAACCCTAAAATTTGTAATAACCAAATCATACCTACTCATTTTTCCAGAGAAAAACTATTTTATTTGAAACCCTTTAAGGACATGCGAATGTAAAATCACTTTTCACAACCAAACGGCAACGAATCACTTCAAAAAAAAAAAAAAAATCTTGCAAATAATGGGAAACTCAACATATGCAATGTCACTAAATGGCTCAAACATTGATTTTACACACACGACATGGATGATTTATAGCCTCTTCTTTAAGTGACAAGGCTAAATAAATCATTTCCTTTTTAAGGTTCAGGACGTTTTCACTTTCGATTCGTACATGTAATAGAGACATAGTAAAATCTTAACACGTAGCTGTGACAATAGGCACTTATCCTTGGAAAAATCCATGATCATGCATCGTGATTGTTCCGTGCACGAATGCATGGAAGCCATAGCGTGTTTTCACACCGCTCCAGTTTCAAAGTAAAAGTAGAAGTACATTTCAACATCTAATCTATAAAATCTAATAAATGAAAATGCTCTTTTAGGCACGATGAGAACTTGTTATTATCAAATTTGTTTTATTTATGAAGCGATTAAGCCTTATCATGAAGAAGGGCGATGAAGATTTTGTTCTGTTTGGTTGATGGTTATGTCTAGGTAAAGTGCAAGAACCAAGTGGGTTAAATTGGTTGGTAGGATTGGATTTGAGAAAAATTAAAACTTTATTATGTCTTGTCAACAAGAAATCATCATATTGATGAAAAATAAGAAAGTTCATTACTTTATGAGATAAAAATTCATAATTTAATATTTTAAAATTTTTGGTTGAATATAACATTATTTTTTTTATATGATTCACTTCATGTATTGCAAAAATTGTAATTTATGATTTGTACTGTTCAAAGATGCTTTCAATCTCTAAGGTAAAAAACAGAAAAAAGGAGAGATTTTTCATTTTTTTCCCCTTGGTTGTGAAAAGACATAATTAATATTATCCCATGAACATGATGAGCCAATGCTATGGTGTTTTGGAGGATGTCTAGTGTAAAAAAGTGGTGCAAAATGCCAAATTTAATGAAATAATGCAATGGCAATGGCACAATGCATGTATAGCTGTTGCCCACTATGAAAACTTTTATATTGAGAGTATCACAATAATAAATGTTGCAGTAGATTAAGCTACCTGCAGAAATTATTATATCTTGTTCATGTCTCCACAACACCAAATCATATTTCAATCACATTTGTATCCCAAAAGTAAAAACAAATTAGATCTTACTTCACAATAATAACGTCATCATCTTTTGCACCTACTTAGAAAAAAAAAGAAGTTTAATTTCATCATCAATTCGTGCATGATGAAAGAAAATCTAGATGAAAATAACATCGCGTTTAGTAGATATACGTTACCAAACCAAACTTTGGAATGGCTTATTTCACACGTTTAAACATTTTTGTTTTGTATTATACTTAAAAACTCGTTGAGTTAACTAGAAACTATAAGAACAGTAGCAAAAGTAGGATCCGATTCAATGAACTATGAAAAATGCATTATAAGAAGAAGAAGAAAAGGTAATCTCAAAATAATCATAGCATTGTGTAATTTAAAGGGGATAGAAAGGAAACAATTACGTTATACACTTTTGTTTTTATTGGTCATACAAATCTTGTGAATAGAGGGAGAAATAGCAAAGTTTTGTGTGGCACCATATATCATGATTTTGGAGTTGCTTTTGTACTTGTTGCCATTACACCAAGAATCTTTTTGACCAAAACTTGATTAATGTTTCATTTCCTCTTCATATATGGATCGTCTGTTAATTATTAAAATAATAAATTAACTTCGTGCATTAAAAGGTAGGAGCAACTGTTGGATGATTGATTTACACTTTGGCTTTGCACAAAAAGTATAAGTAGCTTTTAATGATAGCAATTGAAACTTTGACCCATTACACTTGTCTCATCAAAGTTACCAATTTAATTTTATATATGTACTCGAGGCACCATATATACATATATATTTCTTGTTCTTTGTTTTCTTAGCCTTCAATCAATTATTTTTTTAAGTATAACTAGTTTTGATGCATTATTACATTTGGTTCATCATGGGTTTCTCTTTAGGAGTGTTCTTTGGAGGGCACCTATTTCACATTATCTTATTCATATCTAATAAAATTCATGTTAGTTATAAAAATTACATTATTGTTATTGATTCAAAATAAAAATAAAACATAAAAAGCATTTGTTTGTTTCGGATACTTTTTTTACATTTCAAAAAATATATATGAAGTTAGAATATACATTCCTATGATTTAGAGTTTATAAACAAAATACTTATAGATATATTTTATTTTCAAGAAACTTGTATTCTTATAATAATTATAAAATTAATTTGTAATCACTATTGCAATTTTCATTCTTTTGTTTTGTTTAATTTAAAATATAGAAAGCATTCTTAAAAATATGAAAAGTTAACCAAACTTATTCTTAATTAAGCATATCTAAAAATAACTTTCCGATCATAATGTTCTTAAAATTATATTCTCCATAATATAGAGTCATAACTTAAACTAATGCTTCGATAATAAACGCAGAAAAATTATAAGATAATTTAATAATCTATTTATATGCTTAAAAAATTAATTTATTGTTATTATTCTTACAATACGTATGCATGTTCCCCCAACAAGAAAAGACAATGTGTGAATAATTTTGTGGGTGCTTTCTTGTCTATACAAAATGCATATATTCGTGTGTAAAAAATAAAATGCATTTTTAATTTTCATCAATACACATGTAAGTTTTTGTTGAATAGATAATATATAACACATAAAATAAGAAAAGTAAGAACAAACTCGCAAAGTTTTGCTTTCTAATAACCTAACGCTCAACTAATAAAAAAAATATTAAAAATTGTGAAATACTTAATGGAGATTGATTGGGCCTCTGATTAAGCCCAAGTGAAAGAAGTTCGGGCCCATCTCTGCTTCACAGCTTTGTTTTGTTTCATTCCGAATCTCCTATAAATATGTTATGGCAAACCGAAAGTAAAAGCCCAAACAATCCCTTGTGAAACTTTATAAGGTGATGGGAAGACTGCGTCTCAATAATTCTTTCTTCAACCTCATAATATGTAAAATATTTAAAAAATGTCCTTCAATCTTCGTACCAATATTTGTATTTCCGTTTGCAGTGAGAATTGGTACAAGACGAAACAACCTCATGAGAATTGGGTGAATGGTACCAAAGAATTGACCCTTTTTTAGCATTTGTTAAAGTTTTCATCTGTATCCAAATTTTCCACTACCAAATAGGTGAATGGTACCATTAAGAAATTAACATCCACAAAACAAACATTAATTTGTATATTCCCATACTATGTATTAACAACTACAACAACAAAAAATGTTGAACAAGTTTATATGTCTTAAATTAAGTTTTAAAGGCAAGTCAAATGTCTACTCTTTTTATTTGTTTCTGTGATTTTTTTTTCCTACTATTCTACTCCAATTCAAGAGCTATTTGCTAGTCTTTGTTATAGAAGTTGACTCCAAAAATTATAAACTTTAAAAAATATAATACAATAATAATCATAATTATAATAATTTAAATTTTTCTTGTTGCACATTTTTATTTTTAACTTTTTTTATTAAACAATTGTAAATCCATGAATTGTTATTTAAGCATAAATAGTTTTCTTATTTATCTCGACCGGATAAATTGACAGGTTTTCTCGATAGAAAGAAAAGAAGAAAGAGCATACTTAAACTTCAACGGTCGGTTAATTCAAAATTTTCCAACGGTCACCAAAATTCAACTTTCAAGATCCCATTCCCACCCTTTCCCCACGGTTGGAAGCACTCTGAAACTTTCTTTCTGCCACGAACCAGCTCTATCTCTCTCTAGAAACTCCTTCTTGATTGCCAAGACTCTATCTTTTACATGGAGCCGACTCAATCCAATGACGTTCAGGAATACCCACAAACCCTGATCTCAGAGCCCAAAGATTGTCTCATGCAAGACGGCAACGAGTCCCTGTTCGATTCGATGGTTTGCGACTCCACTTCAAGGCTCATCCCAACCGGGTTTACCAGAAACGCGGGTTAGAATATCTCAAATTCAAAAATTTGGTTTTATGATTTTCAGGATTAGGACAAGAAAAGAAAAAATAGATTAGAAAAAGTTCCACTCTCTTTCTAAGTTGAAATTTAGCGCTTATACCTTTTCAGCCGCATTTCAAATTCGTTCTGTTTATTTTCTCCAGTCACTTAACTGTTGGATTGCAATTATGTTGTGAGGTGTTAATTGAGGCTTTAGAATTTTGGATTAGGGTTTGGTAAATTGTAATTGTGAAGTGTAGTGCAAAAATGATCACACGGGGTAAATTTGATAAACTGTTTGAATTTTCTGTGAAGTTTAAGGAAAAATGCTTAAGGACTGTGTTTTAGATGCTGAGAAAAGAATTGGGGTTCATTCTTTTGTAGATAGAATGTTTAATTTTAACATTATGTCGTTTTGAAGCAGAAGAGGAATGCTTAATGTTTGTAAATGCTGGAGGGGATGCTTTCAGTGAAGCATCAGGTGGAGTAACGTTCCTGGGTGACACCTATTTTGATGGTGGCTACGTTCTGCGTACCGATGAGCGAATAGTGGAGGGTGGCGACTACTCATTTATCTATCAATCAGCTCGGTTCGGAAGCTTTTGTTATAGGTTTGATAATATTCCTCCCGGAGACTATTTTGTTGATCTACATTTTGCGGAGATCATTATCATAAATGGGCCAAAAGGAATGAGGGTGTTCAATGTATACATCCAAGATGAAAAGGCAAGCTTTTCTACACAATTTTCTACACAAGCTAGATTACTTTCATGCATTTACATTTGACAAATTTGGACAAGTAAAGGCTTCAACTCCTTTTTTTATTGAAATAAAATGGCAGGTTCTGTCTGAATTGGATATCTATGCAGTTGTTGGAGCCAATAAGCCACTACAGTTGGTTGATTCAAGGGTGTCTGTGAAGGATGATGGGTTGATTCTCATAAGATTTGAAGGTATATTTGGAAGCCCAGTCGTTAATGGGATTTGCATTAGGAGAGCAACGAAGGACTCTGGTATGTACTTCTGTTTACCCTGTTTGAATAATTTGCCACTGGTGTATGTGTTACTCAGCAATTTTCTGTATTTTTTGTAATTTTTTTCAAACAGTTCCACCAGTGACAAGTGATCACATTAAATGTAGCTACTGTGCAGCACAGATTGAAATTCCTTCCTCCCAGGTCAGAGGTGCAACCTAGCTGATAAGTGGCAGTTTGAAATGCAAGTATCACTGACTCAACATTTTTGCTTTTCCTGCTTTTCATCGGAATGTTTCAGATGAAAGATATGCGGGCAAAGTCTACAGCAAAGTATGAGAGTAAGATAAAGGAGCTCACAATGCGGTGTGAGCTCAAGGCTAAAGAATGCTATGAGGCATGGATGTCATTAGCTGCTACAAATAAGCAATTGGAGACAGTCCATATGGAACTTGACAAACTGACAATTAAGTCATACGCTACATGTAAGTTTTACAGCAAGGGCATGGGAACTAGAGTCTTAAAAAAAAAATATTATCTTTAATTCTTTTATGAGATTTAATAGGGTCATAGTTTAAAACATTCCTTATTTTATTGCCAATTTCCTCCTCAGATCAAACTGTGGAGAAACAAGCTGAAAGCCTGAGGAATATTTCTTATAGGTATGAGCTTGATAAGAAGAAATGGGCAGATGAAATTAACAGTTTACAAGAAAAAATAAAGGTAAATGATGAAAATTCAGGAAGAATTTATGTTCAAAGTTATTATCTATATTAATTTTGTATGATTCTCAGAATTAAACGTTAAGCTAAATTTGTTTTGCAGTTGATAAAAAGTGATTATTCAAAACTTTCCTTGGAAGCGCATGAATGTGTTGATTCGATTCCTGAATTAAATAAGATGGTTTTTTCTGTTCAGGAGTTGGGTATGCATTAGTTATATAATGTAGTTTCTATTTTTTTAGTGAAGAGTTGCACTTAATTTTGTGATTTGAAATAGTATGAATCACTTCTGGGACAAAAAACTTCTTTCTGCAGTTAAACAGTGTGAAGATCTCAAAGTGAAGTACAACGAAGAGATGACAAAGAGAAAGAAACTCTTCAATGAAGTTCAAGAGGCTAAAGGTATGTTCTTGTTGAAAGTCCCACATCGCCTACCTCATATCATTTGGTATGGTTTAAATACATGTTAGGCTACTTCACATATTGCCAATTGGTTTTATGTTGGAACCTTAACATGGTATCAGAGCCAAAGCCCCTTTCCGGTTATTGTCATGGGCCAAAAATTGCCCTTTAGTTGGGCCAAAAGTACCCTTTGCCTGGTCCGGCAGGCTTCGTTGGAGGGGGTGTGTTGAAAGTCCCACATCGCCTACCTCATATCATTTGGTATGGTTTAAATACATGTTAGGCTACTTCACATATTGCTAATTGGTTTTATGTTGGAACCTTAACAGTTCTCATGCCATTTTTACTTGTTCTGCACAGTATACGAGTGGACTCTGTTCTTATCTAGAGAGACTTTTTACGTCAAAGGCTCTAATGCACTTCTGTTATGGTTCATAGGGAACATTCGGGTTTTCGGTCGATGTCGTCCATTGAATAACGCTGAAATCTCAGTTGGGTGCAATACAGTTGTGGATTTTGACGCAGCAAAGGATGGATGCCTTGGAATTTTGACAAGTGGCTCCACCAAAAAATCATTCAAATTTGACAGAGTTTTTACACCAAAAGATGATCAAGGTATACAAAAAGTGTAAACATAGTAAATGTTTACTTGAATTTCATTGCTTTTTATATGTATAGTACAAAATTCTTATTATTTAACCTAATTGGAACTTTCTAAACGACAGTATTTCCTTTGTTTTTAACAGTTGATGTTTTTGCTGATGCATCATCAATGGTGATCTCTGTACTGGATGGCTACAATGTTTGCATCTTTGCTTATGGGCAAACAGGAACAGGGAAGACATTCACCATGGAAGGAACACCGCAGAACAGAGGAGTAAATTACAGGACTCTTGAGCACTTGTTTAAAGTTAGTAAGGAAAGGAGTGAAACTTTTTCATATGACATATCTGTTAGTGTGGTTGAGGTTTACAACGAACAAATCAGAGACTTATTGGCTACTGGACAAACATCAAAAAGGTAATTTTGTTATGCTTATTGGTTCCAATTGTGAGATGGTCTGATACATATGTGGTTTCAAGAATGCTAAAATATGCAATATATAGTCTAAGCAGGAAACTGAAGTAGCTGGAATGACTTATCTTGAAATGGTTATCAGGTTGGAGGTAAAACAAGCTTCTGAAGGATTTCATCATGTTCCTGGTGTTGTAGAAGCCAAGATTGATAACATAAATGAAGTGTGGAATGTACTGCAAACTGGAAATAATGCTAGAGCAGTTGGAAGTAACAATGTTAATGAGCATAGCAGTCGATCTCACTGGTACCAAGACCTTGTAGTTTTTCTTCTTTTATTTATAAGAAGACTGTCTAGAACCTCTTCATCGATAAGATTTTCTTTTTCTATTTTAGCATGCTATGTATAACAGTAAAGGCTAAAAATTTGTTGAATGGGGACTGTACCAAGAGCAAGCTTTGGCTTGTGGATTTGGCAGGTAGTGAGAGGCTTGCAAAGACTGACGTTCAAGGGGAACGACTTAAGGAAGCCCAAAATATCAATCGATCTCTATCTGCTCTTGGAGATGTAATATCTGCTTTAGCAGCTAAAAGTAGTCACATTCCATATAGGTATATCTTCAACCCTTTACTCCTAGCCTATATTATATGTAAATATAAGTTTTTGTGATGCTATTTCCTTTTGGTGGTTTCAGAAACTCTAAACTGACACATTTACTTCAAGACTCACTAGGTATGTTCACTCACTTCACTTCAGCTTGTGTATTTATTGTGTTGTATAAGAGCAAGAAAATCTTGCTTCTGCAGGAATTGGTAGTATTAACCATTCCTTGCCTATTCTTTATAAAACATTGTAGGAGGTGAGTCCAAAACTCTAATGTTTGTACAAATAAGTCCATCGGACCAGGACGTAGGTGAGACACTGAGCTCACTTAATTTTGCAACTAGAGTGAGGGGTGTTGAGTTAGGTCCTGTTAAGAAGCAAATTGATACAAGTGAACTTCAAAAGTTGAAAACAATGGTAGGCTTGCTCATCCTTACTGTAAAACATTAAAATTTTTTGTCTTTTACCAAGCTCTATAAATAGTTAATGGTTTCTTCCCTTTACACTTTGGCATTAGCTTGAAAAAGCACGGAGTGATTGCAGGATTAAAGATGAATCTATGAGAAAACTTGAAGAAAATTTGCAAAGTTTGGAGAGTAAGGCCAAAGGCAAGGATCAAATTTACAAAAATCTACAAGAAAAGATTAAAGAACTTGAAGGACAAATTGAGTTGAAAAAAGCCATGCAAAGTGAGTCAGAGAAACAAATCTCTCAATTATCTGACAAATTGAGAGGGAAAGAACAAACCTGCAGTTCTCTCCAACAAAAGGTTGCTTTCTTTTGGACATTGCTATTTGACTTTTAACAAGGGATCTCCTACTTTCAAAACAGTGTGTGCTTTGCTCGAGTGTACCATTTAATAAAAATAAATCCTTGGTTTCTCTGTTACTCGCATACATTTCTAACAAGACACTTGTCTCTGTTGAAGGTGAGAGAGCTAGAGAGAAGGATGAAAGAACAACTCCAGTCAGAGTCAGCAAATTTTCAACAGAAGGTTCGTCCATTTCTTTGGGAAACTGCTTCCCTCCACTCATCTTTAATTAATTTTCTTGGCATTAACATGCATTATCTTAAAGAATCAGTTTTTAAAACTATTTTCCTCTCAATCACTTAATCAGTTCTTATTGTAAGCAGGTTTGGGATCTAGAGAAAAGGCTGAAAGATCAGATGCAAGGCTCTGACTCTGAATCTGTCATTTTGAAAGATAAGGTTGCCAATAAATTAGAGTTGTGTTTGTACAATTAGACTTTCAGCGTACTTTTGATAATGGGATATCTCCTTTAATGACCGCTCTTTTTATGTTGCTTCATATTCTTCAGATCAAAGAGCTTGAGAGGAAACTGAAAGAGCAGGAACAGAGCTCAATGTCCATGCTTCATCAACAGGTACTTGTCACAGAAGAAATCTACAGTTGTGCATACTACACTCAACATGCTGTGTAATCAGACTCATTTAAGACTACCTGATTAGTATTTGTTTTACTTATCTCATTAGCTTCATAAACTGAAAGGAAGTTTTATCATTTGTTACAATTTCTTTCTGTTTCATCAATTTTCTTGTTCATTTTCATCATTCCCGTGACCATGTGTCAATATTACATGTCATGACAGATGAAGGAACTGGAAGACAGGTACAGAGAGCGAGAGCAGCATTGGCAACAAACACAGAGTTATGTGGATGCAGTAAAGGCCACACCAGATATAGGTAAAAATTACATGAATGAAGAATGTCCAAGTGAGATTGAGGCTGGCATTTTAAGGTGTTCAGACTCAGTAAACCGCCAGATAAGCCGAGACTATTCTTCGTTCAAAGGGAGTGATTCCACCAATAAGATAAGAAACAAAAGAAGAGAGTTTAGAAGCAATGATGAAAACAACTTTGTCTTGCCATCATCGTTGCCCGATAAAAAAGTCACCAGGAAATCTGATCCACCCAAAATAGGGAGGAGTGTGAGGCCATTATCAAGACCAACCACTGCCAATCAAGCTCCAGTCTCTCACAAGAGAGCTAGCACAAGCAGAGATCTGGTTCAAGGAATCAGAGAGAGGGAAAATAAGAAAAAAATTTGGTCATGATAAATGATCAAAATTTTAAAAGGGGCTGCTCGTTCCTGCAACGATTCATATTAAATATTTGTGTGTATTTTTTCATACAGAACTTATAGCTTTGTCGTGAAAGCTTGAGTTTGAGCTGGGAATGAAGTTTTCTGTTTAGGAATTATCACATTTTCTCATGGCATGGAAGATTATTTCTCGTGTGATATTATTCTTTCTGTCTGTCCCATCCAGTCACTCTTTTCTATAAATTACTTGAGAGACAAGTACAAACATAACTAAGGGTTAATATGTGATTTTTTATCACTTGTACTTTATTTTAATTACAAATATTTTGGGATATTAGTTTTGTGTTTAGACTAAAGGCGGGTTTTGTCTTCTAAAAATTTGTTTTTGACTTTTTTAATTGTCTTCGATTTGCGGTTAGAAAGTTTTCATTGGGTTTTGAGTTCTTTCGTCCCCATCCTCATTTCATATCTAATCTATATTATTTTTTAAAAAATAATTATATTTATAATAAATTAATTTTACTATATATTTTTTATATATAAATAAATATTTATAATTTTACAATTTGTAATTATTATTAATTAAATATATATTTTAATTTATTATATTTATATTAAAATATATATGTAAAAGAAATATTTAATTATTTTTTATTTATATATATATATATATATATATATATTTAACATTATTATTATAATAATGTATTCAAATTGAATACATTATTATAATAATAATATTATTATTATTATTATTATTATTATTACTATTATATTGTATTCAAACATTTGATTATATATATATATATATATATATATATATATATATATATAAAGTTAATTAATTTTTAAGTTTTCATTTAAAAATATGAAATATATAGTTTATAAGGAAATATTTAATAAGTTAATTCTTATTTAACTAGTTCGAAATAATAAAAGTTTAAAATATTAATTCTTTTTAATCCTTTAAAATATAATTATTTTATTAAGATAAAATTTGATATATGACAAATAAAAATAATAAGATTCAAAAAATATGACATAATAAAAACTAATAAATATAAATTATAAATAAAACAATATTAGTTACTATTAAGATTTATGTAAAATATTTAGAAAAAGATAAAGAAGAAAAAAAACTTTGTGTTCATCAAATTGGTTGAAAAGATTGAAAAAAAAATTTTGATTTGAGAGATTAAAGAAATGTAAAAAACTAAGGTAAGAGAAAGATAATAATGTAATAAACTAATTGATATAAAAGATTAAAAAAGACAAAACAATTAAAAATTGGGTAAAAGAAAAGTAAAAATTGTGAAATATAAAAAATGACCTTATATATAATATAAAAAGAAAAGGACATATTTTTAAAATATTAATATTTTAAAATTTAAATAATATTAATTACTATTAAGATTTATGTAAAATATTTAGAAAAAAGATAATGAAAAAAAACTTTGTATTCATTCAATTGGTTGAAAAGATTGAAAAAAATTTGATTAGAGAGATTAAGGAAATGTGAAAGATAAGAGAAAGATAATAATGTAATAAATTAATTGATATAAACGATTAAAAAAGACAAAAAAATTAAAAATTAGGTAAAAGAAAAGTAAAAATTGTGAAATATAAAGAATGACCTTACATGTAATAGAAAAAGAAAAGAAAATATTTTTAAAATATTAATATTTTAAAATTTAAATTTAAATATAAAGTCGGGACGGGGTCGGGGTGTAGATTGCATTACACATTTCTGCTCCCGTTCCGAACTTTTTAAAACGAGGAGAACCCGCTCCCGTTCCTGGTCAACTCGGTTTTTCTCAATCAAACTCGGGACGGAGATAGGTCGATCCTCACGGTACGGGTTTAATTTTCCTCCCTTGGTATGTTTCATAATTTTTATTATTCATTTACAAGTTGAAATTCTTCTATGAGAATTTCTGCTTAAAGAAAAGTGGAATTTTCTATTAATGCAAAAGAAATGTTGTAATTAACTTGTATAAGAATTGAATGAAGGTTATACTTTTTTTTTTTTTTTCTGTATATGATATAAGACACATTTTCACATTTCACTGTATAAGTTTATCATATTTAACTAGGGAAGATAGTTCACTTTGCAGGTTTTTGCATTAAAATAGTGTAATTTTCTTAAAATTTATCCATAGGAATAAATTTTAAAAATTTATGAATTTTGATAACTTTAAAATAAAGAATTCGTACTGCGGATTTTTTTTTTTAAGATTTAAGAAGTTATTATTGATTATATTATAATAATACTTCTTATATTATTATTATAATAATATTTTTTATATTCTTGTTAAAACTAATAGTTATTATATTATATTATTATTAATTATATTAATAATAATTAAATTATATAATAAAAAATATTATTAGTATTATTTATAATAATAAAAATTACACTTGATTAATATATTTTAATAATTATTACTATACAATTATATTATAAGAATAATTTATTATTACTATAATTTATAATAATAATTTTAATATCCTTAATTATTGTTTATTATATCATATATACTTTTTAATAAAATTATATATGATAACTTAATATAAGTAATATCTTAACTAAAATTAATGATCTAATTATTTACCTAAAAAATATTCTTATAATTATTTTTAAAAAAATATTTTTACAATTATTTATAATTTTAATAACTCTTTCAATTAGTTAACAATTTTATAATTATTTACTTATAATTTAGTTAACTATTAATTATAATTATTAAGCTAAAAAAATTCATGATTGTTTACTCAAAAAGTATTTTTATAACTATTTATAAACCAATAACTCTTATAATTAATTATTTAAAAATAATTACTTAATTTTTATAATTTAATAAGTTAACTTTAATCCTAATTATTTACTTAAAAAAAATTATGATTATTTGTTAAAAAACATTTATATAATTATTTATTGTTTCATTATATCTCGAAATAGTAGCCTAATTTTATAATTATTTAATTAAACATGTTTTATTATTATAATTTTTAAATTTATGCATGTAATTATTTAAAAATAACAAATTCTAATAATATGAGAAACTGCTTTTTAGTAAATAATTTTTAAAAATTAATAATTTAAGCCTAAAACTAACATATTCGTGAGTAAAACCCATGCCTAATCAATTACGTAATGCATATAATTGAGTATTTTTTTTAGTATAATTAATTATATAATGTCATATACATTTGTGTTTCTTGCTTTTCTTCGCACATTTAAAGGTATTTCTGAGTTAACCATGTCGCCCACTCTTTTTGCAAATTACAAGATTCAAACACCCAATTCTCACTTTCTTATTTCTTCACCAACAATACAAACATCAATCTAAACACACTAATCTTTTTCATAAATTATAAGAAACAAACACCAAATTTTCACTCTCTCCTTTCACAATTTTATTTTATTTCCTTGTGATAGAACAAATCATAATGTTTCTTCCTTAAACATTTTTAAGCCAAGAAAAGGGAACAAGGTTGCGAGATTGAACAAATTTTATTTTAATTTGATATTGTGATTTTTTTTTTAAATCGGTCATGATTTTCTTGTAATATCAATCCTTCTATTCTTTATGTAATGCTTAGCTTCAAAACAAAACGAATTAAGAGGCAAACAACACATTGTCCCTGCTCATTTTTTTTTTTTTAAGAAATTATAATTTTATATCAATCATTCAAAATTTATCAAATTTTAATATATTTTAAAATATTTATATTTTTGAATTTTTTTTAAAAATACATAGAGAGAGAGTGAAAATGAGAATTATATCTTATAAAGAAAATCATTATTTTTTCACTTTTAAAAATTTTAAGAATTAAAACAGTGTTTCATCATGAAGAGAAGATTCATATTAAGAATTGAGTTTTTTTTTTATTAAAAGATGAGTTAACACCGTGTTTGAATACAATATAATTTAAGTTTGAAAATAACTACTCATTTTAATACTGTTATTTATTTATTTATATAGACATCAAGTCTCAGCTAAATTATTCATAGAAGAAAAAATAAATTTAAGAGTCTTTTATTTATTTTTTCTTTTGGTTAAGAATTCTTTATAGAAATGTATTAACCTTTCTCTTTAAATCTTATCTTAAATTTCTTATATTTGAGTAATAATTTATTTTTTTATTTATCTTGATCGATTCATCAAATGACTTGTTCAATATTTCATAATGCTTTTCATATTTTAGTTTCGTTTGTTAATTGTTCTTGTTTTCATTAGAGAAGTTTTGGAAACCTATTAGGTTATCTTCTTTGTAACTTTTGACATTTTTTGTGAATTTAAATGTTTTTTCACGAAATATTATCTTATTTTCTTAAATTTCTATTGTTTATCTTGTTGGTTCAAATGAATTTTTATTTATTTTAATCTTCATGTTCTTAAGATGTTTCTATAATTTAAGTGGTTAAATTTTAATGTTAGATAATTATAAGACATCTTATTCTGAACCCAAAACTATAGAAAATATTTTGGCAATATAGTTATGTAAATTTATAATGCTCTGTTTCATTCATATAAATTTATCGTAGAAATTAACTATTTAGTTGTATAGATCTAAATTACTTCATTTTAATCATCAAGATTTAAATTTGTTGCAGTCGAAATTATACGAAAAATTGGCACTACAACTTTCCTAATAATAGTTGCATATCAATTAATCTTAAAGGATTTGAAATGTGTCTCTTGAGGCTTGAAACAATATGAACAACAAACATATATAAATCAATATTATTTCCCTGAATCCATAATCTAGCAATGATGTAGCCTCTTCCTCAAAGCTAGGTATGCCACAACTCTATATCCAATCAACATTATGATCAACACAACCACATCTTTCCACAAATTATGAAGCCCTAGACACTTTATGGCAGGAAAATCTCTGATCTTACAATGTAACCCCTGTCCACACTGATACACCTCATTCATTGAGTATTGCACTCCTACAAGAAGCTTATAGCAATGGTGACTGAAAGAAATGTACTTCAACCAAGATATAAAGAATGGAATTTGTTGAATGTAGTAACCCCCTGCTAAAAGAAACACTAACATAGTCACTGAAGCTAAGGTTGTGGCTTGTTTGACATCCATCAGAATGGCTCCAAGTGCTAGGCCTATTCCTTGAGAAACTAGCACATTCAAAAGCATTATCAAGAGAGTAAACACAAATGTAACAAAACAAGGCTTTAGACCCCCCATCCAATAAGATATTGTTACAAAGATAGTAGGAAGCACAAGCTCCATTGGTAAGTCCCCAACTGTCCTGGCAACATAATAGGAGGATAACTGGTACATGCCTGATGATCTTTCTTTCACCAACATTGGTCGATCCAGAGGAAAAGCAAAGATGGCATTGAAGAGAGGGAAGAACCCCCAGAAGATGGAAAAGAAGAATAACAGGCCTACCTGTTACAAGGATATGAACATTGTTATGTAATGATTGGTCCTATACTAATTTGCACATTGGTGTTTTGACCTTGTAATTTTTAGTATTTGAACTAACTAGTTTAATGAGTTTGCTGCAACATTCTTGCAGTATTTTAGTAGTTTAACAATGATTCAACAGCTAAAGTTAATAGAGTTGAATTTGCTTGTTTAAGGACTAGTATTCACCATTTTTATGAACAACATCTAAACAAATTGTTTGGTAAATTATGAATTTAATCCATTTTTCCATTTAGTATTCTTGTTTTTGAGACAAGATATACCTGGTCTTGTACATGTGAGGAATCAGAATGCCACCATAGAAGTCCTGAGAGAATTGAGACAGAGAAGACTTGGAAGATCCTTAGGTGAGAAAAAGATTCATGCCTCCTCTCCTTTAAACCCCTTTGAAGCAAAACCATGAATTGTTCCCACCAGCTAGTTGTCCATTGGTTATCAGAACCTATCAAACATCCATTTAAAGATCATTTTACTCATTTAGTCATGGTATTGTATTGTCCATGCTATATACTTTTATAAATGAATTAATAGTACCATAAAGTTTCACTTACTTCTAAGTGTTCCTGGAGCCAAAAATGTTTGTTCTCTATGATTTTGTTGAATCTCTTGCTTTAGAAGAGGATATACATTCTTCTTATACGATGAAACTAGGAATTGTTTGACTGAAGCTTGATCCTCATAGTGATCTAAATGTTCATCTTCTTTGACATCAACAACTACACCTACAAATCACAAAATGTAAAGAATAGAAGGTTCATTACATGTCTCACTTGAGGTTCAATCCATGTCATGTTGACTTTGTTTTTTGTCTTCACGACCAAATTGAAATTCAAGCGTAATAACCAAAATCATGATTGGAGATGCTTTCAACGTCATAATTTATAGTTCAACAAAATCTAAATTTAAATTATTCAACACGAGTGTCTCTCCTTGAGTTCTATAAAATAACTTTATGTGAAGCATCATTTTCCTAAATGACATGGACAAATAACAAACACTTACACTAGAACAATAAAATAAAATTATTTAAAACATAATAGTTAGTAACTTATGATTGAAAAGGGAGAAATAAATAAAAATATGAAATAAAATTATTTATATGACAAAAAGATGGAGAAAAAAAAAAGAAATTGTGAAGAGCATTGTTACTGAATGGTATATCTAAAAAAAACGAAACACCTTTTATGAGGCTTGCACAAGCTCAAACAATCCTTGTGAAACTTTATAAGGGGATGGAAATTGGGTCATAATGACCCATTTTAGCATTTGTTAAAAAGTTTTCATCTTTTGATCCAAATTTTCAAAAAAACCAGATTGTGGTGTGCATTACCTAATATAGGTCAATTATGTAACATGAAGAAATTATCATGCACTAAACAAAATTTTAAACTTCCTCCCATGTCACTTCTAACAAAAAAACAAGCCTTTGACATTCTTAAATTTTGGTGAAATGACTTACCATTAGCAAGATCAAGCAGAAAATCAGCTGGGTTGATGAAATTGAAAGTGGGCACAAATCCAATGGACTCAAGATAATTCATGACCTGACATGCTTGTCCAGTGAAAATTGGGTATCCATCTGATAACAACAACACCTTATCAAACATCCAATACAACCTGCTTGAAGGCTGGTGAATGGTGGTCACCACCGTCCGACCGCGCCGGGCAACACTCTGAAGCATTGCCACGATGCGTTGCGCCGTCGTGGAATCCAACCCTGACGTTGGTTCATCAAGCAACAACAAACTTGGATTCACCAACATCTCTTGTCCTATGTTGACCCGCTTTCGCTCCCCACCTGATATCCCCCGGAACAGGGCGCCACCACCACCAACGAGGTTGTTTCGACACCGGGACAACCCTAGTTCCCCAATTATCATCTCAGCTTGCTCCATTTTCTCTTCCCTTGTCAAACTTTTTGGAAGTTTCAACATGGCAGCATAAGTCAGAGTCTCAACCACAGTGAGGTGAGGATACAACACATCATCTTGGGACACAAACCCTATGTTGCGCCTCATGGAGCTAGAGAAAGGCTGGTTGTTGTACGTGATGGCGCCGGAGAGTTTTCCGGCGAGACGGCCGGCGAGGGCTGTGAGTAAAGTGGTCTTGCCACTCCCTGAGGGACCCAACATTGCCATCACCTCCCCTGGCCCCACCATACCAGTCACACCGTTCAACACCGTCCTTGTGTGCTTTGATTTTTGAGAAGATACACAACCATTTTTGTCACTTCCAAAAGTTATGCTATGGGAAACATCCTCAAACTACATGCAAAAATATTACAACGTCAGAAAATTATATCAGCGTATTAATTATTTGACTAACTAAACAAAACACATTATCACTTAATTACATACTATAATTCAATTATTTTATACAATGTAAAAAAAAAAAATTACACTCTCAATACCAATCCAATCATGGTAAGTTTGTATGACTATATAAAAGTCAACAAATTTATCTTCCATAACTATCTATGTGATTATCTGTGATTTGATTAGATATAAAAATATACAAATTATTTATATTGTTTTGAAAAATAAAGTACTTACTTTTTTTAGAAATAAATTGTTCCTATGTCTTTCCATTTAAGTTATCATTTAGGTTATTTTAAAGAAACATTTTCTTCATAGCAGCCTCTGAGAGAAAAAAAAAAGTATTTTTAGATTTTTGTCTTTCATATTTGATATTTGAAGAGAAGGAAAAGTATAATGGAAATAAATAAAAAAAGATAGCAAAAAGAAGAAATTAAAGGATATGAAAGAATGAACTATATATATTGTGTGCGTTGAAAATATAATTATTGAGTACTTTGAGGGTAACGGGGCGAAGGGATTGGTGAAGAACAGAAAATTTGGGTGGTGAATTAGGTGGTGGGTGGTGGCGAGAATTATTGTTGTTGTGAATGAGATTGGCGGCGGAGGAAGGTGGTTCGGCGTGGACGGAGCTGTTTTCCGGGCCGTGGGGGTTGGCCGGAATGTTAGATGTAACAGCTGTTTCTTGCTGAGGGGGCATCATCGGAGATGAATTTGGGGCTATGGTTGAAACTTTGAGAATACAAAAGTGGTTATTTTGATGTGAGTGTGAAGAAAATGAAGGTGGAGAAGAAGAGAAAGGGGATAGAGTTAGAAAGAGAAGGAGAAGCACACAAGTGAGTGAAGGAACGATGAGAATATATAGGATTAGGAAAAAAAGAGTCTTGTTTGTATTTTAAAAACTAAATAAAAAGTCATATAAGAATCATGATGCTAGATAAAATGTTTTCTATTTTTATATTTTTTAAAATAATTTTCTATATTACAATTTTGAGGTTTAAAAATTTGTTCAATTTATTTTTCATATTTCATGCCATTGGTACGAAGTAAATTTTATGAGTAAAACCAATACTTAAATCTATGATTGTTCAAATAATAATTAGGTTGGTTTTGTTAGTGAAAAAGAAAAATATTGATTAATTAATGAGCTTTAGGAAATAATTTAATCAAATTTTTATTTTCAAAAGAGAAAAATTGGAAAACTTGAGAAACTTACGTGGTTGAATCTTTGGCAGACTAAAAAATTGATATTTCACTTATTTAATATTCAAATTGGAGCGAAGAGTTTATAAAATTTAAATGTGAAAAGTTAAAATTATAAAATTATAAATTTTATTAATAAAATAAACATAAAAATGTTAATCGAGTGTATAATGAATATTTTACGCTTATTTTATGAAAATAAAATAGGAGAAGTTATAATTTTTCATTTAAAAGACAGCTATTAAAATTATTTTTAAAATTTGAAACTTTTTGTTTTACTATGTTTGACATATGATATTAAGTATTTGAGCGTATCTACATACATGTATGGATTAGTGAAGGCAAAATATATTCAATGAATGGATTACTTAGTGCGACACATTTTCCTTTTAAAAGACCACATACGAATGTGGGATTCAGCGTTAGCAACGTGTTGGGAAGTGTTTTATCAGATTCCTGTCTTTTAAGAAGTGATTTAAGATATTTTAAATTTGACCTAAATAAGGCAGTGAAAGTAAAACCAAACTAAGCACCAGGGGACCCAATTTGGATTTCTTCATATCAACTAGTACTTGAAAGGATGCCAGAATAATTTTTTAATTTTTTTTTTTCATCAAATCAATTTTTGTAACTGTTTAATAATGAAAAAGTGTTGGTTAATAGTAAAAGTTGGTAAAGTTGATACAATTTTTGCATCCTTGTGTTTATCGGATGCTTGGCTAGCTTACACTCTTTTATTTTACTTTTTGACTTTCTCTCATACATATTTTTTAGAACTTCTTTCATATTATAAATGACTCATTATTTTTTTAATAAGAGTATTTAAGTTTTTTTTTAAATCAAGTTCTATATCTTATCTTTTGTTGAGTGTTTAATTTTATTTGTATTTATAATTATTTATTTATCCAATATTATTTTCAATTCTAGTTTAATTAAATTTTGACACACTGTATAAAATTTAACATATATATATATATATATATATATATATATATATATTCTAAAATGAATTTTTACTTTTAAAATTAGAAACCTATTTTATAATTGTTTTGTTAAAAATATTTTTTATTTTTAAAAGTTAAAATTGATTAATTTTAATTTTCTATTTTTTATTTTTATTAATGGTTTTAGGTAGAAAATAAAATTTAACGATACGTGTAGATGAAAGAAATAAAAGTAGAAATAAAATAAAATAAAAAGTAGAAAATGACAATATTTGGGAGAGAAATAATCTATATATAAAGTATATATTTATATAAATTAACATTCATTAACCACGTAGATAGTTTTATATTATTATTATTATTATTCAATCACAGAGTATCGAATTAATAAATATATAAAAAAATTACTTTGTGCTATTTTTGTCTATATTGACATATTATTTTATTTTTGTTGGTGAAAATATATACGCTAAAACACTTTCATATATCTATTTTTTTTATTTATGATATTAAAAATGGTTATAAAATTTTAAAAACAAATTCTCTCCACAACTTTTCTTTACTTTTTACATATGATTTTTTTCTCTCTCAAATGAAAAAGAACAATATATATATATATATATATATATATATATATATATATAAAGTCTCTTCATATGAAAAGTAAATAAACTAATTTTGTTGTGAAAAAATACGTTTAATGTTTTTCATAATATGTTCACACGTCATACTCAAAATTGTCAAAATGCACGATATTTACGTCTCAAAAAGTAATTTTACTTTATCATTAACAAATTTCCATATTTTTTAATGAGAACATTTAATTTTTGTAGATTAAACTAGTGGGTAAAATGGCAAAGAAAGGTACCATAATAAACACTATATGATTTGCCTAACTTTAGGCTTTTTTTTAGGTATTCTCTCCTTTAGAGGTGTCTTTGCTTGAAAGGAAAAGCAGGGTTCCCCCCCGAAAGAGCTTTTATATGTGTCATGTATCTATTCACCCACATACCCACTGCCTCAAAATAGTGTCTTTTTTTTACCCTAAAAAGGCCCCATGGAGTCACTATCATATGAGGGTGTATTCTTCAGCATACCTTTTCCTTCGAATTCAAACTTCAACATTGAGATTGCTCTCATTTTATTTCCTTAAATATATTAGTCACCTCTACCCAAAATAACAAGGTATATTTGGATTTTGATACAATCTTGTTTCAGATTTTTTTAGGGTTTTCTTATAGCTTGTAGGACATTTTTTAGCCCATTTTTATTATGTTTGTGGTGTTTTTTATTTAAATATTAAATAATGAATTTAATAAGACCATTTTCATGTCTTAAATAAGTTTAAAAGGTGTTAAATATTTATAAAATCATGGTTTTGAAAAGGATAATTAACATAAATTGAATCAATTTCAATATTTAAAAAGATGAATGATTGAAATTAAATTTCAAAAAAACAAAGAGATGAAAATATATTTTATGAATCTTTAAAATAATTGCATACTTAACATTTTAATTCAATATTTTTAGTTCAGTTGAAGTAGTTACAAATGAATCTATGTACACACTTAGTGACTGCCTATATTAAATTTTTTACTTATTTACAGGAATTGATCATATGAATATACACTATTAAATTAAGTAAGCTAAGCTAGATCCCTTTTGTTATACCTTTGTGTATATTTAGTTTAGAAAGAAACATTAAATAGAAATGTTCTTTATTATGTTGTATAATAAGAAAGAAAATAAGAAAAAATATATAATATTTTCATGTTTTATATATATATTGGTCCTTTATATTATACCCATGTAAATCTTGTCTTCATCTCTTTTATGAAAATGGGACAGAAGATGTATTTAGGTAGAACCCTTATAAATTCTTTTGTTCCTTCATAGTGTAGACCCTTCTAAACAGAGCAAGGATTGTGAAATGTCATCATCATCATATATGCTTTTCTACAAAATCATACAAACCGTAGATAATATATGCATGATGTTCATTTATTTATTTTTCTTTTGTTCATATAAATTTGGAAATTTACTTGACAGATGTGTCTAATTTAGGTTAAAAAAAATGGTGTTTAATCGAACAAAGAAAGAAAGAAAAAAAAAAGGGAGGGGGGATGGAGTAGAAGGAATAAAATATGTTTATAAAAATGTGGATATATTCTCCTTATTACCAATATTCTATGATACAGTTGTTGAGTGAAGAGAGGTTTAAAGGTGATTTGAAGTATAATATAATATTCTAAAACTTTTCAACAAATATGCACCTCATCATGTGTGACATTTTTTTCTTCTTATTATTATTTGTTAAGTGTAACAGGTAAAAAAAATATATATATATATATATATATATAATTTTATTTTTGATTTCTTCTATTTTTTTTTACAATTTTACAAATATCTACATTGTCGGTGGAAACAAACTGATTAAGGGATTTTGGAAAAAGTTAGGAGACATACAAAAGGTAATCACTATTGGTCCATCTAATATAATGAGATTTCTCATATAAGATACAAATGTTATTATTGATAATCCTATCCCTCTAAAAATAACTGAGTTGTCTATAACGTTCGTGTTCCAAGTAGTTTCTAGGAAGAAGACAGTGATGCTTGCAAAAAAGAGATTTGGAATATTTGGCGCCTCCATCTACTTAAGTTGGTGTTTAAATAAAATATTCACAAAAGATCACAATAGAGATCGAGAACATTTATCATTTACAATAATACAATCTTATATAGATATATATGTTTCAACTTCCTCAACACATTCTATTTTATGAAGATTTAAAATTAAATTTGTAGTGACTAGTCAGGATAAATGAGCCCAATATTAATCACTCTCACAGTGATATTTACTCATTTAAATCCCCAAGGTTCAACCTCCATCTACAATATCATCAAATCTTCACAAATAGATATTATTATAATTGAATAATATAACTATAAATTAATAAATAGGATCGTCTGCATTACTAGAGATAAAATAAAGTAAACAAATAGGACCAGTACATAACTGGAGATAATTAAAATAGGACCGAGTACAAGATTGAAGATAAAATAAAATAAACAAACAGGACCAAGTACATAATTGGAGATAATTAAAATAGGACCAGTACAAGACTGGAGATAAAATAAAATAAAGAAACAGGACCAGTACATAACTGGAGATAATTAAAATAGGACCAGTGCAAGATTGGAGATAAAATAAAATAAACAAACAAGATCATTACGTAGTTAGAGATAAATAAACAAATAATTAAATAAATAAAAAGAGGTTAGGGACACCTCACTCAACAACTATAAGCAAAATAAAATAGATTTAATGATAATATTCTCCTCCCTTACCTTAAGAACTGCGGATGAAGTACCAAAATTTTGCAGAGATAAATTTTTTTTCTCTCTTTCTCTTCCTCCCTCTCTCTTTCTTTCTCTTTCTCCCTTTCTCTTTCTATTTCTCTCTCCTACTTCTCTTTCTCCCTATGGGTCTTCCCCCTTTCCCTTTTTATAGATTTTTTTTCTTTTTATTTATTTAATTACATAATCATAAATG